TGGTCTCCTTTTGGGCCATTTCGTTGCAATCGTCATTGACGATAGGCACTTGATTTTGGAAGACTGTGAACATTAACTTTACCTGCAGCTTTCACCTTGTTTCTACTCAGCTAATGTAAGAAGTCATTTCAAAAGACTGTATACATGCACGTCTTAGTATAACACATCCACGATGCCACGTTTGGCACATACTTTATGAGACGAAAATAGTGTCAGGGACGAACCACATTTGCACTAGTGAATAAACCATTCTCTCTATCCTCATCACTTTAAGCTGTACTGTTATTATTCTTATATTTGTAGTCTTCTCTCGAATATATTTAACTTGATACCGTAACTGTGAACAAATTTCTGTGGTTAATTAATATTTTAAGTAATTTAGATGCAATGTTGTGACAAATGCTCGGAATTCCATTATGTATTATAAGTACTCTTTTTGAAATTTAAGTAAATTATCATTACTCGACTTTAAAGACGCCACTTAATCCTGCTTGACCTGCGTCAGCGTATCACCCCTAAGTGCATACTACATGCAGGCATAATGCTTATGAGCTAGGTATGCAAATCAAAGTAAACGCTTGTACGGTACATTCATTATTTATAAAACTAACCAGTATGTAAGAACTACGATTCGACCAGTTATACAACGTCTAATATACTTCCACACAATCAACGTGGGCTGCTTACTTCTTTGACGCATTACCTAGAGGTATGTAGCTACCTTAAAATAGTTTCCGCTGAAGGTAATCTCCTATAGCTACTACCTTAATGAGCAAAATTAACTTTATCTTTGAATTGCAAAGTAAAAGTGGAAATTCTGAGAACTTCCTTGGTAAAAAGATCGTCTCCCAGGCGAAATAAGTAAATATATCCTAATCTCCGTGACTGCATTTAGCGGTATTTATCCTATCACTTGAAATGACTCACTATTTGCAGCCACTTAAAAAGTAAAGATAAATTTACCGAAGACAGTGTGCTTATGATTTCTAGATATCATAATGTACCATGAGGAGAAAGCTATATCCATAGGGTTATAACAGTCAGACGCGCGATATTAGTCCGAAACACGACGACTACGATTCTCAATCACAGAACATTCTACTTTGCTACCTAATCGTCTAATCACATCAACAGATGTTTCACTAAGAAAAAGAAGACCATTGGTCCAAGAAAAATTTAATTCAAGTTTTCTTAAAAATTACGGACATCAGTACTGATACCCACGGAGAAATTACAAACATCCAGAAAATAAGAATTTCATTATTTGAACTGAAACGAACAATTTGTATTCAGCCAATGTTTTCACCCCGAATAATAATCAGGTTCTCATCTTGTTGTAACTTCGATGAAATCGCCGATTGTAGACCACAACCCGAAACGTTATTGTTGCTAATTAAAGTCTTACCTTCAACTGGGATAGTTCATACACTCACCAGATCATCGTATGTTATCCGCATTTTAAGTCGTTTTGTAATAAACTGAATGGTTGTTAACACAGGTAGTCCTAGTTCATGTATTTGGATACAGTACGTTCTTATGGTTTAATATACCCTTCGAAAACCTTGCTAATATCAACTCTGATCGTGCTCTCTTCACCAGATTCACTTGTAGGTTGTTGCATGCTGCGAACATAAACGTGAAAGATATTATTTTTCCAGATTCCTACATATTAAGTAACCAATTCAACCAGCAATAGTAGCAACCAACAGATGAACTGGAAACAACAGCTTCTGCCACCCAAACATGTACACGTGCATATTTTTCAAGACTTCTACACTGTATTTTTTCAAGACAGCTGAAAAACAACTAAGGCACTGAAATAACGCATGAATGCAAGGTATAAAATCAATGAACTGATCTGGTGATAAAAACTTTAGAAACAAGTGAAATAACTAATTTTCACAAATGAGGTGAAACGCGATATCTGTGAACAATCTGTATCAAGATAAGTTGTGAATAACTGCGGGATAAACGTAAAAGCCAATGGGTAAACGAAAGGTTTAAGAATGTCAATCGAACATGGCCGACTAAAATGGACGAAGTGACTTTCAAGTGCCTGACTCTTCCAGTGACCTTGGGCATGCGGGATAATTTCAGCCCCTAAAAGCATAACTCTACACAAAAAACAGCCTGTGAACCTTCTCAAGGTCGATCTTAACTCCAAAGAATAGAGAAATGCCATTCTAAACAACTGTCGAATTCTTAAGGGATCAGGCACATAGGCGAACGACGCCGAATTGTCGAAAAGAAACTTAAGATTAAGGGTTTTCGTGTTTTCAAAGTTCGAAGTTTGATAATCTCGAAACGTCTGTGGGTGGGTTGCGGAAGCACCAAACTAAATCGACAGTTTGCGACAAAGGCGTCCGCAGTTTGCTGAACAAACGGACTGAGCTGGGTTATATGACAGACTGCGGAAGTCGGATGTAATTGTCATCACAGAGACATGTCTCACACTCGATCTCACTGAGAACGAAGTTAAACTTCCAAACTTTGAAGTACATAGGATGGACCGACTGAGCCGCAAAGGAGGTGGCGTTTTCATCTACCTCAAGAAATGCTTAACCATGCGTAGCATCGAAGCACACACTCACGAAAGTGAATCGTGCAATTTTATGCGTTGCAGACCTAAATGCATAGGCCAAGATACTGACCTCATTGCTATGCAGCGCAGTCCTGACTGCAGTGCAGATGACTTCCTAGTAGAGAAGCTAGGCTCCTGGACTTCAAAATGTCGAAGTGTCGTAGTCGGCGACTTCAACGCCCCGACAGTTGACCGGGCAAACTTTACAAAGCCATCTTCAGACAACTCCTTTTATCATAAATTGCTGGAATCTAGCGTTTCGCTAGCACAGGTCCAACACGTCATTAGGCCCACGAGCTATGACTCACAGCCGTCCTCTTCAACTCTGCACCTATTGTTTTCCCATCACATAATGTGGATCTCATGCCACGCTTTCAAGTTCCTTGCATTATTACTACTGGCCCAAACCCCAGCTCTACCAAACGTTTCGAAAGCTGATATAAATGCGATCGTCTCAGCAGCCAACTCAGTGAACTGGTACATCAAGCCAGAGTCCCAAGTAGAAGCCGCATAGAACCAATTTAAGCAACTTTACGCCCAAGTAACTGAACCTTTCATCCTTTGGTCTGTCCCAAAGGGTCTAAAACATTTCCCCCTTGCATAAACCAAGTGATTCACAACTTAATCAGACATAAACACAAATTTTGGAACCTGTTTGCCACACTTGAGACTCCTGAGACCAGGAAATTATATAACACTGCTAGGAATAAAGCTATTGCATAAATCCGCCAATCAGTGATGAAGTTCGAAGCACATCTGGCTCAAAACGCAAAGGCACAGCCTAAAAAATTTTCTCGCAAAAGAACTTCAGGAATAAAACATCCAATGGTGTCCCAAACCTGACTGTTGACAATGACACAATCGAAGAAGATCAAGAAAAAGCAGAAATCTTTACACAGGAATCATCAGTCCTTATAGAATCAGCTCTGGCTGCGTTAGAGGAACACGGGGTAGATTCTGTTGATATCGGCCGAGACATTGTGCTCGACTGCCTAATGAACCTAGATGCAGAGGAATCAATGGCTTCAGATAATCTTCATCCAAGGCTTCTCAAGAAGCTATCAGTTCACATAGCGGCCCAGTGACAACGATCTTCAAGCTATCTCCCACAAAGGACGATGGAGACAAAGTGTATCAAACTACAATTCTCGTAGTCCTACCAGCACTTTAATCAAGATAACAGAAAGAATCGTCAAAATAAGTATCATGGCAGATTTAGAAAACAATAACTTGTTGTCCATAGCACGGCATGGATTTCGAGAAACCCTCTCATGCCTGTCAGACCCTACCTCGGCAAGAGAAAGCTGTTTCAAGTCAAGGGACAAAAGAAGAACTGTCAAAGTCGTCTTCATAAACTTCAGCAGAGCCTTCGCCGAAGCGACTCATGAGGTGGGAAAGTCTTGGAAATTAAAGGTGCATACTAAACTGGATTAGGAAATTCCTCATTAGTGAAGGACAGAGGGTCAGGATCAACTGAAGCTCTCCTCCTGGACAACAGCACTCGGCGGAGTGCCAAAAGATTAGGTTCTCAGGCCTCTCTTACTTATTTCGAATATCGGTGACTCATCTGTGCTCAAGGATCCCCCAATGATCCTGTATGTAGATGACTTGAAAACTGGGAGAGAGCTGAAGGTCGACAGTAATGCGCTCACATCGCAGGGAGACCTGAACAAATTTGCACAGTGATTCAATATGGGATGCTCCCAATCAATGTAGCAAAATGTGCAAACATGCGCATCTGACACGGAAGCATCAGCTACTACGAACTAGAGGGAATAACGCTCCCATCATTTCAGACTCATTTAGATTTAGGTGTTATAGTAGGCTAGGACTTAAAAATTGCAACACGTTGTCCAGCGGTGGCTGCACTTAGTTTCAGATCCTTATGGGTAATTCGCAGATCCTTTACTATTATCACCAGAGATATGCTCACCTCCTTATATACATCTCCGGTGAGGTGAAGACTTGAAAATTGCGTCCAGGCGGCCAGTCCTTGTCTAAAAGAGGACTGACATATTCCAGAAAGGGTTCAAAGGAAGGCAGCACTTATGGTCCTCGGCATGACTAACTTATTATGCGAGGGAAGACTAGACAGTTTAAATCTCTTCTCTCTGTCATACCGTAGGATACGCACTTGACTTATTCTCTCTTAACCTTCCTACCAGGTTGGAACACCTTAAAGGACATAGCAGGCGGGTTCAAAAGCCAAGAAGAAACCATACTGCTGTTGAGTACTTATTCTCACACCGAGTCATAAACTCTTGGAACCGAGTCCCAGAATAAGTGGTGTCTGCAACCTCAACTGACTCATTCAAGAAGGGTTTTGAAAACCACAGAAATTCACTAGAAAAGGATTAACATAGGCTTCAAGCATTCTATCCTCAATCAACAAATCTGTATCTGTGGGAAATTGGATACTCAGTGCGCAATACAAAGATGACGTAACGTTAGATTGTTACTAGGCCTCTCTGTAACCTTGACTCTTGCTGTAAGCATCCAGGTAGAATTTAAATACTTGGAATATCTTATTCTGCAGTAGAATATTATTATGGTATATTCTCTTCTCTTTTGTTCCCTTCACTCAGCTTAGATGACCCACACTTGCTCTAAACCTTTACGTATTGGACCATCAATTTTAAATGCAGACTTGTCCAAACTAGCTGATGTCTGTGAAAATCTACTCAATTCTGGTGCTGACTACTTGCACCTTGATGTGATGGATGGGCACTTTGTACCTAATATTACAATCGGACATCCCGTGGTAGCTTCTTTAAAACCACATCTTCCACCTCAAACATTCCTCGATCTGCATATGATGGTATCTAATCCAGAAAAGGTATTTATTTTGATGAAGCTTTCAATTATTTATGTTGTTGGTATGAATTAAATTCGTATTTACAATCAAAGTTGTTAAGTAGTCTGAAAATGCTTATTTTTCATTAAGCTAAGAACCACGGGATATGACAGTCATTTTTTAGGTGTTCAGTAGTCTTCACACCCGGAAATCATTTTGTTTTTCACTATGGAATTTGTGTTCTTTAAACCAGCATTTAAACACTAGATGTTTTTACTAGGCATTATTTCGTCTGTATTATTCAGTGTTTTTTCCATGTACATCTCTATATCATCAAATAACTAATTTGAATTTGTTCAGTGATGCTAAGTCACAACTTCACAGAGTCAGGATTTATCTTTCTTAACAGATTCCTTAGTGAAGTTCTGGAATTTTACTGAAGTTCGGTGATGCAACGAACTTGATTAGTGGAGATCAGAACAGATACAATGAATTCACAGTACATGAACTTAGATTTTATTAGGACCGACAGGTAAAGACAGTAAAGCAACTGTATATTACAACAGCTCGTATGACATCTGTTGGTAAAATCAGCTGTAAAAACTACAAACTTATTTTAAAGTTATGTGTAAAGGTCTACTGTTCACTGTAAATGTAGTTTCCTTATTTCACATGTAAAATATTTACAGTAACTATGCACAGTCTTACTAAAAGCATTTCTTATGTGAATATTATCACCTTACAATAAAATTAACCATTGATTTGTAATTGATTGAACCCCGCGTCACCCAGTTTGCAATACTACTATTGAAACGCCCCAGAAACAGAAATGAAAAATCAAATTCATATTGAAAAATATATTTCGTTACAGATCGATATGTTGTAGAGTCACATGCACATAGAATATCCTTTCAAACAGTTTACATTTTGAAAGGTTGAATAATAATAAACATGATAATTAGGAGTCCTGGGTCTGGCTCTTGGTTGGGTTATTGGTGCTTACCACAGAAGAGTTCTCTTGGTTTCCAGTGCTTCCCTAACTGATATCAATCCATGAACTAACTTGAAACCAATAAAATTCCCACTAACGAACGCTTGAAGATAAATTTAATCTCACAACTAAGCTTTCTTAATTTTCTGAAGACAGTACTCATTGGTTTAAATACTCATTCTTCAGTCATTTGCAACCTCGGGACCAGATCCTGTCCCACCTGTATCTTCATGGACAGCTGGGCAGTATCATCAGCCCTCACACAACAACCTGATGCATGAAAAATATGTTCTAGCTAACTGATTTCTAGCGCAAAAGTCATTATTATATTATTATATTGTAGGTTTTCTTGTCTAACTATTCACTTCCATAGATTTCGCTTAAATAATTCTTTAGAATGTTAAATGGAAAGTGATATGCATTGTTTTACAAAACGTTAATGTATAATTTCATTTCCATTTTCTTTTGGATGTAATCAAAGTGGATTGAAAATATGAAAGCAGCTGGTGCAACTCAGTATACATTCCATTTTGAATCAACTGACAATGTTACAAATTGTATTCATAAAATACGTGAAGCAGATATGAAAGTAAGTGACTGAAATGCAGTACTCTCCGTATGTTTTGTAAATACTACTATTAAAGTATTGATGTTTTATTTCTATGCCTATGAGTTTAAATTCACTACAGAAGTAAATGGCTAATAATGCCCTTATGTTATAAAAATCTTTTCACACAGTGTGAGCTTTAAACCTGTAACTGACTACACGACATTGTTGTTGGGAAGCATGAGGAAGGCTACTTGTGGACTGCCTTCAATCATTTAGCATCAATTCAAGGGAACACCATGATAATAGGTTCATTTAGCTTGGTGAACACATTGCAAACCTAACAGATAGAGTTCTTGGAAGCAAGAACAGATAATTTAGCGAAGTCTTTTCGATGAATTCACTCACTAAGCTCTACAATCGCAATCACGTCTAATTACTTTTGTATGTACATATACGTATTCACTTGCTCATGTGGAGCGAGATATGTAAGTCGTTCGGTGCGTGTTTTATCTAGAACAGTCAAAGAACATCATCCTGCTTGGTTACGAAAAAGTAACAGTGGATCAATAAGGAGTGCTATTGTAATGGAAGCAGACGAGAGGCGAAGGAATATTTCTTTGCAATTTGGTACCTCTATATAGCAAATTTATATACACCTTATCTTCAAGTCGTTATTTGCACAGATATTCCGTGTTGTGTCACTTTTGCCCTTCGTATTGCATTTCTTTGTCTTCTTTTCGTGTCTCCCACTTTTTGCCGCAATTCTGGTTCATATCCTGTGTTTGACTTCAGATTTATCTCCCCGCTATTTGATGTTTTCATGCTGATGAACGTCTCTTTATATACTACTGATAAATCTTATCAGTAGCACACTCCACACTATAATTAAACATATATTCAACATTGGCAACTCAGTATGCAAGGATAATTCCTTTGCAGTTATATGCAGAGTCAAAAAAGCCTCCCGAAAATGGTGAGCTTTTATATACTTTGCATTGCTGAGACCTTAGGGATTCGAATGGACAACCCTGATTTATGTACACAGAAAAAACTTCTCCATCTCCCTCTGCCTTGGATATAATTCCAAGTTCAACTGTTATCAGTATCTTGTTATTCATACTAATTTGTGTATTTTTTCGCATGACATTTAGTGTCATCATTTTCTTAACTAATCTATGTACTCTCTTAGCCCACTATATGATTTGTTTTGACACCTGTCTCCATGCTCTTTCATTAACATCCAAAATTTTATGAACGTTTTCGATATCAAGTAACCTTAGTCTGAGCTTACTAATCTTTACCGCATCCCTAGTTACAATTTTGATTATTCATCATATTTTTGAAATATTTTGGTGATATAAGTAATAACCCAAACTAATTTTTATTTTTGTTTGACAAACCTAATATATATACACACATACAAAATAATTATATACAATTGCGATTGGAGAGGTAAGTAAATGAATTCGCCAAAAAAGAGACTCATCGCTGAACTGTTTATTCTTATTTCTGTGTCTGGATAGAGTTCAATCAATAGTAAGAAATGAACACATGATATTGTCTACTGCCCTGTGAACAATCAATGTAACCGTGACATTGTAGTGCTCTGTAATTTGGCACTAGACATTAGCAATTAAAGATATAGAAAACTTTGTAATTCAACAGCAAAATCCAAAACAATGGCCATTCACTGTATAACATCGTGGTGCTATATATAAATTAAACTGAAATATCCATTTACTAAACTGCTAAAGATGTTTCTCATTAGTTTGAGAACTTGATTTCTAGTCAATGGTCCCTGCGTCGAAATCCTTCCCCACCTATATCATCTCCTACACTGAATGTATGTGGCACAAATCCTGGTACAAGAGACTGAGATCTGACTAATTAAGTAGATATTCATTTCACTTGGATCTTTGAAGAAAGTGATGGTTTATAAGGAGTGTTCTTTTTACTCATAACTAAAGTGTTGCAATTAGCATTCAATATTTTCAGCAAGTGGTTACATCATTGAATTATAATGTTCCAGGAATGGATAACTGAGTGTTTTTTTATATGGCACCCTTGAATATGAAGTAATTTTGACTATTGGGTAGAATCAACACTAGGACTTTAAGAATATTGACTGATTAGAGATTTGTTCACTACTGTGTATTTGGTACACCTAAAGTTTACGTTCATAGCAAATCAAAAGTGTAGAGTAGTAACTGACTGACTTAGTTCCAACATAGAACTTTGTACTGAATTGCAGCAGTTCAAGTTGCCACACTCCATGTCACACACATGGACAAACATGAAAATCTAATGGATCTGGGAGGCTAAAAAGAGTGAATGCATCTGCACCATTGAAAACGATTTTGAACCATAACACTATTAGTCTCCAGCCATTGTTTCTTAGCATCCCACGGACCCTAGTCAGACAGTCTACACTTCCCTACGTAGCTCAAACCAACAGGCAAAGACTTCACGGACTGATTCTAGGTTTTAGTTTGATTATCTTTAACCCTTTTCCAGCCCAATATGAAGCCAGCTAATATTGTTCGAAGAGGATGGCGATGGTGTGGCATGCATAACACGTGTCCTAACCATCTCAGTCGATGTAGCTTCACAGCCTCATCAATTGATTTCCCCTCCTTACCTTGCACTCAACTGAGGCCTAACCTCAATATTGCTCACCCTATTATACCAATTAACATGGAAGATAGAACGCAGGCACCTATGAACAAAGACAGCTAGTCTTTTCATGTCTTCCACTCTCAATAGCCAGGTCTCAGCCATAAAGGAGGACGGAGCGGATTGCTGAGCAATACACACGCCCTTTGGTCGATAGTCGGATATCACGTCTACGCCAGAGACGGCGTAAACTGGCATATGCGAAACTAGCCCTCTGTATTCGTGCCGAGATTTCGTCGGAGATCAACCCGTTGGGGCTGATGGTACTTCCCAAGTAATTGAAGCGGTCAACGTGCTCTACCACTTCAATTCCTATTTCTAATCCAGGGGTCGGTGAAGTCCAATCCTGCAGCATCATCTTACATTTTACAGGGGCGAATCGCATGCCAAACATACGAAGATTGCTGCTCAAGGTGTTCAGAAGACTCTGCTCTATTTTGTCAGCGTCCTCGCCTAGAAGGACTATATCGTCTGCATATTCTAAGTCAACGAGATTATTCCCTGGTAGCAAGTCGATCCCTGAGTCGCTGAAGTGAGTTAGGGTTAAGTCCATTAGTACATCCGTGATGAAATTGAATAGAAATGAGGATAATGGGCATCCCTGACGGACACCATTAGTGGTCCGTCGCCGTAATCCCTCACCTGGCTGCGTGAGTACGAGTAGAGTGCCTCAATCAGTGCAATGTATTTTCTCGGCATTCCCTTTTACAGCCAAGCATCGCCAGAGCACCTCTCGGTCGACAGATTCGATTGCCGCCTTTAGATCAAAAAATATAATGATTGTTGGACGCCGGTAGGAATGCCTATGTTATAGAATCTGTCAAAGGTTGAAGATATTATGGTCGATACACCCTCTTCTTGGTCTAAAGCCTTCCTGGTTCTCTCGTGTTTGTGCCTCCCGAGCACCACTTAGTCTACGCAGTATTATTGAGCCTAGGACTTTAGATACTATATTAGTCAAGCTAATCCCCCTGTGATCATCACAGGAAGACTTGTCTCCCTTCTTGTATATGGGGGTAATCAATGACTTACACCAACCCGACGGGACTTCCTGTGATTCCCAGATGCTGCCCAATACCTAAGTTAACGCAGACAGTAGACTGTTTCCACCGACCTTGAACACTTCTGGAGTCATCTCGTCAAGTCCTGCTACTTTACCTCGTTTCAGACTAGTGACAGCCTTAGTAACCTCAGTTAGGGACGGAGAGCCTGTGTCTATATTCCATTCAGGGAGGTGTTGGATGTTCGGTAAGCTGAGCGTAGCTGCAGGCCATTTAAACTGCTCCTCAAAGTTTTCCAGCGTTCCAGTCGTGGGAATAGTGACAGCTGTTTCGTCCTAACTTGGGACTCTTCGTCAGTACGCATCCACCGAGGTTCGAACCCAGGACCTTCTGGTTACAAGGCTAGCGAGCTTGTAAACCATCAAGCCGCTGGGATCCAGTCCAGTGGCCAGCACATGAATTTCAACTTCTGCCAATTCATGATATAGTGAGACCACTAGCCAATGTCACCTCTGTCGAGTATTTGTCCTCACACTCGACCTGCCAAACCCAGGTAACTACCTACCTGAATAGTGCCAGTTGCTAGTGAGCATCAGATTAATATTCAAGTGTTAGTTTGCGGAGATTTGATTGGTTACAGGATTTCTTCATGAGCTGACTTCGGTTAGAGAACCATTGGAAAATCTAGGAGTACTGGTAGTTATATAATTAGCACTCACACACCCACCCACACAGTAAATGTGGCTTATGGCCTGTTCATTGAATTCTAGCGCAATCATCAATTATTAACAAACTTTTCCCCTTCTAATTCAGTATACTTAAGGTTTGATATGAGAAAACCTCTAGTTAGATAGCCAGTATGATGGTAAAAACAATCAGTGACTTATTATTCACGCGATAGATCTAAAGGAATCCATCTCTTTCACTTATCTAGGCGGTAGCAAGTGTCGTTTCAACTACACGCCAGGCAGCACAAATGGAGGGGATGTCAAATCCAACAAGAATAGGGAAAGCGAGACAGACCTCCACAAGTCTCTAAAATAAGCATAAAAGTCTTCTGTATTCAGTATGAACAACAAGATTTGGATCTTCGACACTAAAGTGTAGAATCAGTGCTTCCAGATATCTCAGAGACTTGTTGTGTTGCAAAATGCATCTCCTACAGGCTAGTAAAGACTTTCATCAGCAGCCCCATCCCTTTTCTGGCTCAATACTGAAAATCGCACGGCTTGAATGGATAAGTATCACAAGGAACACTGAGTGGCAACGAACCGACCAAGAACTTGTCGACAAAAAATATACAGCCGAAAAAAATTGGGAGAGGGGTAGATTAGATACACGATGAAGATATCGTTGGGTGACATCACGCGCAAAATAGGCCTCGAGTGGAACAGGAATGGCGAGACGACGAGTTCGACGTGGCTCCGAGGGTGACATGGAGGTGGAGATGAAAACTTCTTGTGCAACCGTGAATCCGGCTGAAAAAGTGCAAAGGAAAGGATGACATGAATGTGTCCTGCTGTAGAGCCCTACGTTCCACTCGGAATGCAAAGGAATAATAATATTAGTCATTGTTAAAAAAATATTATTCATTCACACTATAACTTGACATGAGGTGATTAAAGTGAAATGATGATTTGATCAGCAGTCGAGTTCCACAACTCAGCTTTTATAGCCGTCAAATAGTAATTGCAAAGTACTGGTTCGCGTCTCACTGAGGACGACCAGATTTTCATTTCACCACTCACTCTTGCGGGTGAACCGCTTGAAGTTGTTGATAAGTTTGTGTATCTGGGTGGTTGTGTGAGTGCTGGCGGAGGGGTGACGGATGAGATTTCCAACCGTATAGTGAGCTACCTCTGGCGCCGTCGCATCGTTAGTCTGGCTGTCAAAGGTCGGGTATACCATACTTCGGTGTGGGCTGTCTTGCTCTACGCCTGTGAAACCTGGCCTCTCCGAGCTAAGGATGTGCGGTGACTCTGCATGTTCGATCATCACTGTCTCCGCAGGATTGCTTGCGTTCGATGGCTTCATCGCGTGAGTAATTCTGAGGTTCGGCGGCGTGTGTCTGATCACAGTGGAGATCACCATTCATTGAGTGTCGTCATCTGGAAACACCGGCTCCGGTGGCTTGGACATGTGCTGCGAATGTCATCCCAGAGGCTTCCGTACAGGCCTCTGTTCGCTAGCCCTGGGACGGGATGGAAAAGGCGGAGAGGTGGTCAGTCCATGACGTGGCGTCGTGGGATGAAAGATATTTGTGCTAGGTTAGCATCGGTTGGTGCGTCACGACTCCCTGGTTGGGGTCCGCGAGATAGCTCGAATCAATGACTCGAAAAGTTATCGGATATGGCCAAGAATCGTAATCAATGGCGAACGTGTTGCGATTTCCTTCTTTCTTCCCTTCCTGATGATGCTTAACGAATACTGTTTGAACTTGTTAAACATGACTGTTTTCCTTCCAGATGAAGTTCTTTATGCGTTTTCTACTTATATTTTTACTTTTAATCTATGTTGTTTTATTATTTTTGTGTGGCGCATCTTTCTTGATACCATATTGTACCAAGTGTTTTCTTCTGCGTTTAAATAAATAAAATCGTTACGCCGCATTTCGTAAAGAATAGTCTGTCAAACCCCATTAGACCATCAGAAGTAGTGTTTCATTATTGAAAATAAGAATGTTTATGTATGTATGTATGCGTTTATTTTTCTAACATTTCTATTTCATTCTCCCGATTAATTTTTTCTTTCTTTTTTACTAGGTTGGTCTTGGCATTAAGCCAAAAACACCAGTAACTGAAGTTTTACCTTATGTTGACCTAGTCGATATGATTTTAGTAATGACTGTTGAACCAGGTTTCGGTGGACAAAAATTTATGACAGATATGCTACCAAAGGTGAATAATTGTTTTTATTCTAAGTAGTTTAATTTATATTTCTTTTGATTTTCCCCTTTTTATCTGAGTTGAATAGTGTAACTGATTGGCTGGCTGGCTGACGGACAAAGTTTCAACGTAGAACACTGCACAGAAGTGCATCATTTTAAATTACCAAATAGTCTATTTAGGAGAACACAAATATTATTATTGTTCCCTTGGGTTCCTAGTGGAACATAGGGCTTCAACTACACGTCTCCACTTGCTTCTGTCTTCTGCTGTACTTTTCACTTGCATCCATGTTAGTCCATACTGTTTCAACTCTTCTTCAAACGATCTCCTCCATGTCACCCTTGGACGTCCCACTCGCCGCTTCCCTTTTGGGTTCCAATCGAGTAATGGCCTGACGCACGATGTCACCCAACGGCCTCCTCAGTGAGTGTCCAATCCATCTCCACTTTCTCCTGCATATTTGTTGGGCGATTGGTTCTTGTTTTGTTTGTTCCCATAGTTTCTTGTTGGTGATTCTTTCCGGCCATCTGATCTTGAGTAGTATTGAGCGAAGACACTTGTTGTTGATAAAGGTCTGCAACAGGCTGTTGGAAATATTCTTTGTGACCCGCCAAGTTTCTGATCCATCCGTATAGAAGAACTGACTGACTTGACGTTTGTATTGAAAATCCGAATTTTGTTGTTGATGCTGAGTGACGAAGACTTCCAGATTGGTTTCAGGTTGATGAATGTATTTCTCGCCTTCCTGACTCTCGATTTGACATCCTCGTCCGTTCCTCCTGTAGTTGAGACAATACTCCCCAGATAAGTGAATGAAGTAACCTCTTTCAAATCCCTCCTGTTGATGGTGATTGGCGCTGTATGTTGCTGCTGCTGTTGTTGTTGTTGGTTGGTTGGTTATTTTGATAACCGCCGTCTTGTCTATGTTCACCTGGAGTCCTGTCTTCTCTGGCTGCTCCTTCGACCAGTTTGTCGGTTTTCGCTTGTAAGTCTTCGATTTTGTGTGATATCAAACATAAATCATCCGTGAAATCCAGGTCTTCTAGATTCTTCACGTCGTTCCAGGATATCCCTGTCTTCTCGTTTCCCACTGTCTGACGCATAATCCAGTTCACCACAATTAGGAATATCATTGGTGATAATAAGCACCCTTGTCTGACTCCTGTGTTTACTCCAAACGCTTCGCTGAGTTTTCCGTTGTGGATCACTTGACATGTCGTAAGGACGACACAAAGGTAGAGAAAAATGTACTAGAGAAAGAGTAATTACATGGAGAAACATAAGGATTTAATGAATCTGTAAGATTACGAAAACGTGAGTATCTTTGAGTCATTGAGAACGGTTTCCAACCGTATCTCCAGTAGTCTCAAGTCACTGGTGCTTCGGATCTCCAGGACACCCCAAGTGGCTCAAATCAACGGACCAATGACTTCACGATTTGATACTAGTACAATTGCAAAACTTTCAATGACTTTATAGGCAACAACATATTCAGTGCTTATTAAAATCAGCTCATAGGTGGTGGCAAGATTCGAACCAGCAGCCTCTGAAGTAGTAGTTCGGTACTCTGCCAAATGAACTACAAGATCCGACTACTCACCAGGTCATCGTTTTTCTCTGCAGTTATTATGGATAAAGAATAATTACTGAATACCATTGGTTGCCGACATAATGTTAACATAGATGCATAAACCTCGTCCGGCATTAACCACCTTGTGTGTTCCTTTTCGGTGGCGTGGTATATATATATATATATATATCAAATGTGCGTCGGTGATTTAGCGCTAGAGTGTTAGCCAACCATGTGCGTGGTCCCAGGGTTCAATTCCTGGTCGGCACACACCTTCACCTCCCTTAGCCGGTTATAATCCCGACAAAGAGGGAAGATTTATCTGTGAGGTCAGCAGCCCTACCATGTAGAAACAACATCACTGCTACTAGAACTTCAAAGCTCAAGTGTGAAGCCCTATTTTACACTCCGAATGCTAAGGAATAAATAATAATAATAATTATTGTTTTCTTTAATTCCTAGAGGAACATAGGGCTTCAACCGTGCGTCTCCATTGCGTTCGGTTCTCTGCTAGAGTCTTCACCTGGCTCCAAGTATGCCCACACGTTTTCATCTCCTCTTCACATGACCTCCTCCAAGTCACCCCACCCTTGCACTGACGACCAACTCGCCGCTTCCTTTTTGGGTTCGACTCGAGCAATGGCTTGTCTAGTGATGTCACTTGATGGTTTCCTTAGAGTATGACCAGCCAATCCATCTCCATTTCTTCCTGCCTATTTGTTTCACAATCGGTTCCTGATTGGTTCGCCCATTGCCAGAGATCTCTGTTGCTGATCTTTTCTGGCTGGTCATCTGATCTTGAGCGAAGTATTGAGCGAAGACAACTGTTAATGAAGGTCTGTAGTTTGTTTGAGATGCTCTTTATGACGCGCTGGCCAAGTCTCTGATCCGTATGGTAACACTGACTTCACATTGGAGTTGAAAATCCGTATCTTATTTTTGATGCTGAGTGCTGTTGACCTCCACACAGGCTTGAGAGTAGTAACAGCTTGTGTTGCTTTCCCGATTCTTGCTTTGATATCCTCGTCAGTTCCACCTGTAGTTGAGACTATGCTTCCCAGGTAGGTAGGTAAAGGTTGTTTCTTTCAGGTTCCTCCCATTTATGCTGGTTGTTGTCTGTTGTTGTTGTTGGTGGTGGTGTTGGCCAGGAATCTTCATTACCTCTGTTTTCTCTATGTTCACCTGAAGTCCCATCTTCTCTGGATGCTTCTTCTACCAACTTGTTGCTTTTCGCTTGCATATCTTCCAGTTTGTGGGAAATCAGACATATATCATCGGCGAAGTCTAGATCCTCCAAGTTCTGTTTTGTGTGAGTCCATTTTATGCCTGTTTCCTCATTTCCCGCTGTTTGTCGCATTATCCAGTCTACTGCAGTCAGGAAAATCATTGGCGATAGTAGGCAGCCAGCTTGTCTTACTCCTGTCCTCACTTCGAAGGATTCCAATATATCTAATAGGCGTTTATAGTGATCAGCATTTGCTTCAATCTTCAATACAACTATGTGACACAGGTGTTGAATGTAGAAGACGACAGATGTCGGCGTCCCATTGCTCATATGAGACGCAATTGAAGAGTAAGGAATCTCGATAGTAGACAAACAAGAATAGTAGGTCCGTTGACAAGGTGGTTGTCATATGCCTTAATCACACGCCGAGTGTCATTACTTTACTCAACAAGCAATATCAACTGATGTAGGTTTGTCAAACACAAAAGCATAGTACAAAGTCATTGAATATTAGCCTTCAAGAGGTCAGCAATCAAGAATTTTTTAATACTCTCGATGATATTTCAAAATTCGATAAAATCGTAACCAGAGAGGTCAAGAGTCGCTAAGTCAGGTAAGAAGACAGTTACTTGCTAATGTGAATAGATGTCGGTGGTTGCTCTCTCTCTCTCTCTCTCTCTCTCTATATATATATATATATATATATATATATATATATATATATATATATATAGTTGGAATATCATGGGCTGTTGGATCGGGTCCCAGTGACTGAATGGTCTACGATCTCACTGTGTACCTGAAAGATCCTGGGGTTATAACCTCGACAAATGCGTACCTCTGAAGAGTCCCAAACTAGAGCCAAACGGCTCTTTTGTACTCTCCACGCTTCCAGTAGTTCTCTAACTCATGTTTCAACTCATGATCAAACCTATATTCTCACTAATCTCATACATACTCGTCGATTCTGGTAACATCCCTTATACTATAACTATTACTTCTGTGTGTATATGTGTGTTGGGGCTTTTTCAAGGTGTAAAATGTAATGTGTAAAATGTGCGTCGGTGGCACGGTGGTTAGGACTCTCGCCGACCATGCACATGGTCCGAGGTTCGACCCGCTGCTGACGCACACCCGATATCTATGGTTGGCCTGTAAAATTTGGGCTATCGATATCCACGCTGAAAATTCCATACATGTACTGAAAATACAGGGTGGCATCAAGCTGTAACCAAAAATAAAAAAAATAAAAAAATCAGTATGAAAGATTCTACATATATAGATCGTTTTACGTCTATAAACTCTATCCTTCTCTTTGTTTGTTTTTTAAAATTCGTACTTTAAGGTCATGTATCTTCGTGAAAGATATGCAAATTTAGATATTGAAGTTGATGGTGGAGTTAATTTAAAAAATATTCGAGACTGTTATCAAGTAAGTTTTAGTTTATTTATTTAAACACACTTTAACTTGGATTGTATTCATTCTTTCCTCTAATGTCTCTTAAAGAACAGTTTCATCCATGTAGAGTATGACTACAGTCGATGTGTTGTCCTCCTAGATGAAGATGCTGGCTGCAGTCTTCTGAACACTCTGAGTGAGTGAAAATCTTCACATGTTTGGCATGTGATTCATTCCCTGTCAAGTGTAAGATGATGCTTGAAGACTTGTCTGAATTGACTCCCAATTTAAAGATGGGAAATGAGGTGACTAAGCGGGACGACTATTTCTCTTAGTTGAGAAGTCTCATCAGCTCTCATAGGATAGATTACTGACGAAATCGAAGGCTCAGATACCAAAAGGCTTGAGAGTGGCATTTTTTAGACTTACTTCACCTCTAGCGTAAATGTGATATCCGGTTACCGATCAAAGGACGTGTGTACTGGACAGCAGTTGGCTCTATCCTTCTGCATAGCTAAAAAACGACCGTTTGAAGTGAAGAGGTTAGCTGCTTTTTGACGATAAGTGTTTCCGTTCTCCCTCCCGTATTAATTAGCATAATATGGTGGCCAATATTGAGTCTAGGCGTAGTGTTATGAAAGCAGAGTAAAGTTGTTTGATGATGAAGCGAAGCTTCATCAGCCGAGATGTCTAGGAAAGTGTTACACATGCCGCGGATAGCTTTCCTCGTCAATCAATGTTAGCTCATAAAGGATTGGGTTGGAAAAAGGGGTTACAGGTAGTCAAATCAAAATATGTAACGAATTCATGTAGTCTGCAGTCATGGAGACGTTAAGATCCAATGTCTAGAAAGTGTTGGTGACGTGGCTGAAATTCATTGACAATGACGCAGATGATGCATTCACTTTTTTTGTAATCCCCCAGATCCATTAAAAATCTTTATCATTCCCCATGAATTTATTCTTCTCCTTATTGATTTTTTTTGTTTCAAACTCTTATATGTGCTTATATGAAATCTGACGAATTGAACTGCTGCACTTTTGCACAAATTTCTAAGTTGAAGGTTTTGGTTTGGTTTTAGGAGATCAATTTGACTAGAAGTAGGTAGCACAGCAACGTCTAGTGTTGCATTTCTGTGACAGTTGGCGAGAAAAAAAAACAAGTTCATACACCATTGTGTCTCTAGTTTGCAGACAGGTTTTCCCAACTATTCTAGTTAAACGCTGTGTGTTGAAGAGCACTGAACCTCTGTACCAAATCAACCCTTTGAAGTTTTGAAGCACTAAAAAGGTAGGTATGCAGTGAAAATGACCAAATAACGAACTGTTTGAAGGGAGGAAGGTTTGTCTGCCCCCAGTCATACTAGTTTATTTTATGCGGAAGTAGGACAGTGATGCTGACTACTAAAAATGCCAAATTTGAGATCATTTAAATGTCCAGTGGTATGAATTAACATTCTGTAACCATTCTAATATTGAGGCTTGGTTACAACTAAGCAGTATCAGTGTAATCAGTTTGATACTTGGGTGAGTGGACTCTGTGAACGCTATGTAGTCATATATTGTGAACATAAACCAACTGTGACAGAAACGTATAGACTGACTGTGTTCACAAAGGGTGACTATTTTTCTCGTGGTTCGATACAGAGTACTGGTCTCCTTGGGAACAACACTCATTCAGCAGGAACATATCTTCCAGATAACAGGTTATGAAACCTTCAGTTGCTGTGTGAAGAATGAAGTAAGTGAAGTGGAATCTAAACACAGAACCAACTAGCTGAAAGTAGAACGCTTGGGCTAATATGCTACATCTCATCTCGTAGACTGTAATAATGTTAGATGATTAGAGGCATGTACCACGAAACCCTCCTTTAGCTGACGTAGCGTTCGTGCTTGTTAGCACTCATCAGCAAGGCGAACCTGTAATCTTGAAACAACTAACGTCCCTTCTGGGTTCCGAACCCGCGTCAGCGAGTCCTGCAGTCAGAGACGTTACTACTGAGGGGCTACTCAGGCTCGCGAATGACCTCTTGTAGGAGTGTAATGGTTACCTTGATTGGTCACTAGGTAGTAAATGCGATTATGCTTGATCACAGATGATTTATTTTATTAAATTACTACTTTGACACCGATTGTAAATTTTAGAAAAACACCAATGCATGAATATGCTATCATGATTTGTCTCAACAATACTAGAACAACAAAAGGGCGTGTGTACTGCTCAACAGTCCGCTCCGTCCTCCTTCATGGCTGTGAGACCTGGCCATTGAGAGCAGAAGACATGAAAAGATTATCTGTCTTCGATCATAGGTGTCTGCCTTCTATCTCCCGCGTGAAGTGGTATATAATAAGGTGAGCAATATTGAGGTTAGGCGCCGAGTGCTAGGTAAGGCGGGGAAATCAATAGACGAGACTGTGAAATTACATCGACTGAGATGGTTAGGACATGTGTTACGTATGCCTAGTCATCGCCTTCCTCGACAATGGGCAATGTTAGCTGATATAGGGTCAGGCTGGAAAAGAGCTAGCGGCGGTCAAACGAAAACATGGCACCAGTCAATGAAATCCACAACAGTTAGTCTAAGCCACGTAGGAAGGTGTAGGCTTCCTGGTTGGGTTCCTCGGGACGGTAAAAACCAATGGTTGGAAACGATTGGTGACATGGCTCAAAGTCGTTCTCAATGGCAGGTGCAGATGCATTCATTCCTTGTGACTTATGATTTCCAATGAAACTGTTTTGTTCTTCGTTATTACTATTCCTTTGTCTCACACCTCTGTTTCCTGTCTATATTATGCATTTCTTCTACTTTCTTCTCTTGCTTTGTGTGCTACAAGGAGGGAGTGTGGCGACTTGAACTGCCGTACATCTGTGCAAAGTTCTATGTCGAAAACCGACCGGCCGACCGAGAACAACAAAAGACAATTCTGAAGCTAGAATACTAGATTCATTTGAATTAGTGAGGCGACTAAGAAACACCAAAACAGACGAAGAGGAAATACCAGTCAGCTTTGATGTAAATAGTCTCTACATACTTAAATGCCCATTCTAATGGCCATGGTCGCACTGAAAACGAGACTAGACGAAGATAATGGCCTCAAAGACAGAACAGAGTTATCCGTAGAAGAGATAATAAAAGGGGTGGAATTCTGTCTAACAACAACATATTTTACATTTGAAGGAAAAATATACCCTCAAAATGAAGGAGTAGCCATGGAATCGTCCATCTCACCAATAATAGCTGATATATTCATGGATTTTTGGGAAGAGAATGCGCTTAAACCATTCAGGTCATCAATAAAATGCTGGTGGAGATATGTAGGTGACATGTTACCAATAAAGAGAAAAAATGATGTTGAGAAATTCTTCTCGTACACATAAACAGTCATGTCGACTCAATAAAATTCACTATGCCAATAGAGAATGAAATTGGGGAACTACCTAAAAAGTACAAAGAGTAACAGATGGCGGCATAAAAACTGCGCTGTATGGAAAAACTACACATTCTGGGAAATTCCTTGACTATCATTCAGCTCATACACTCACCATAAAACGAGGGTTACTACAAGGTCTTGCAATCAGAATACGTAGACTTACAAAAACACTAGATGACCAACGATAAGAAATAAACGTCTTATTCAAAATGTTACTCGATAACAATTGCCCAAAGGAATTTATCAAAGATAATATAAAAAAGAGGGTAAAACCGGAGAATGACAAGATGGAAGAATGCAAAAAAAGAGTCACAATACCATACAAAAGTGGTACATCAGAGGCGATTCGAAGAAACTTCAAATATATTGGGATTCGCACCACGTTTAAACCAATCAATTTAATTGAAAATTAAAAAAATAAACCAACTAAATGATGCAATGAAAATGATTGATAAAAATAATGTAATTCCAAAATATCTTGTTTTCAAGTATTGGTTTTATAGGGATTTAGTTTGATTGGTTGGAGGATTTCATTATGAGCGTATTGATGAGGAGTGCCAAATTAGGACGAACACAGCTATCCTGTACTCCCAGGTTTTCCACTGGTTCTCTAGCTGATGTCAGCTCATGATGAAATCCTCCAACCAATCAAACAAAATCCCTACAAAATCAATACTTGAAAATTGATCTGATGCTCACTAATGACTGGACCTATTCAGGTAGTTAACCTGGGGTTCTAGTGGGAAGCCGTGACCAGTACGTTGGAGCAGATTAAAGGTGAGGCAGTAACTCATCGAAGAAGACATTGCGAAGTGGTTGCGCTATGTCATGAATCGGCAGAAGTTAGAATTCATGGGCCATTGGATCAGGTTAAAAGTCAATCTGAACGAAGAATATTCTTTTCAATAATTTCTCCTCTTCAGGTTCTTACAATTATAAAATATAATAAATATTTGTTGTCGTTAAAATAATGGCTAGTTAGTTATGTGGCAGATACAGTTTTTTACGTAGAATATCAGATTAGTTATGGAGTGTCAAAATAAATAGTCGTATTTGTGTGACAAACGTGCTAGGCTGAAATCGATTACAAAACATTTCGGTGATATGGGAGACAATGGTGGTGATGAGTCATAATAGAGTTGTAGAGTGTGGGGTAGGAAAATTGACAAGTCAGTTCAAGGTTATACAAGGTGGATGGTGAGTGAGTGGCTAGTACAAAGTGGTCTGTATTAAAGAGGAGATAGTAAAACTGCAATGAGAGGGGTTCATAATGAAATAAAGAATGTATGAAATGAAACTGGTGGAGGCATAAGAAGCACTCTAGGTGAGAAGAAGAATCATCGATCCAAGTTTGGCCACGGTAGGAACAACATCTGAACGTGTTCTTTCGGGATATAAAGTTCCGGTGTAGTCGATCTTGCTGCAACAGCTTCAGCTATGTATAGTAAACGTAAGCGAACTGTACGTGGTAACGACTTCGGAATTCGGTATATAACCCTGAAAGCTGTGTTGACGTCAATGCGATGTCCAGTATCGAGCTTTTTATGCACTTAATTCCCCCCCCCCTTGCTGAACCACGCCAGTAAATGTTCTCGAAACCCGTAGATGAACCCACCTAATCGTGCGCCCTAAATAACTAGAACCACAGGAACGGTTGAAATAGTATATCCATGAAAAAGAGCTAAGCTTAGGTAAGATATCTTTGAGTTGCTGGGTGAACATCTATCTCCTCTTTAATACAGACCACTTTGTACTAGCCAATCACTCATCACACACTTTTTATAACCTTTAACTGACTAGTCAATTTTCCTAACCCAACGCTCAACAAATCTGTTATGACTAATCACCACCATTGTCTCCCATTTCACCGAAATATTTTGTAATCGATTTCAGCCTAGCACGTTTGTCACACAAATACGACTATTTATTTTGATATCCCATAACTGTATCCACCGCATAACTGGTCATTATTGTAACGACAACAAATATTATATTTTATAATTGTGTGAGAACCTGAAGAGAGGAAATTATTGAAAAGAATATTCTTCATTCGGATTGACTTTAACTTCATTATATGGAAATATTTCACACTATCATTAGATCCCAGTGGCTTAACGGTCTACGAGCTCGCCTTGTAACCAGAAGATTCTGGGTTCAAACTCCTGTGGTGGGTGCGTACTGATGAAGAGTCCCAAACTAGGACGAAACAGCTATCCAGTACTCCCAGGTTTTCTACTGGTTCTCTAACTGATGTCAGCTGATGGTGAAATCCTCTAACCAATCAAAAGTATCTTTTGCCGAGTGTCGAACTAAATATGTGGGTCAAACGTGTAGATCATTGAAAGTAGGAGTGAATGAACATAAACGCCTAACTGAAGGTGTTCCCCCACAGGTTCACAAGCCTAAAACAATTTTGAGAAATATTCAACTATAACTGCATATGCATAAGACAAAAACCACAATATTAATTTAAACAATGTTTGCATTCTGAAAACTGCTATGAGCAAATGGAAAGAGAAGCTTATAACAGAATCTGTATTCTCTAGAGTCACACCGGATACATGTAACACATGTAACAGTGCAACAACAGAAGACAAAGGTCGGGCAACAGATGGTTTATTAAGGAAATCAACGCATATTTATATATTTTCATGTACATTACTATGGATGTTTAAGTAAACAAATACAGTCTTCCGATTGGTTGTTTCTCACGTAAAGTTGATCTTTCATCTCTTTGTGACTGTTTCTTGAATGTCGAATCCTCTATATGTTAAGAAAAGCGATATAGGCAGATTTTGATTGGCTGTTGGCTAGCTGGCTTCTTATTGGTCTAAAATAGAAGTTAAAATGGCAGTCTGTTTATTTTGACACGGAAAGTTACAGTCAGTTTAAAGTCAGTCTTAACTTACAATAATATAACGGCGTGTTAATTTTTTTGGTGTGAGTGTAGTGTGATAGTCACATGCTATTTGGATGCATTGGTGGTGTTGAAAGTACACTGAGATGTATGAGAATGTCTAGTAAGTGAATATAAGTTAACAATAATTTTGATGCATTTATTTTAAGTCCAAAATAGGATGTATGCATTTTTTGTTACTATGGGAATAGAATTCAACAAAAATTGCTAAACGTATAATGTGTCTTTAATTTTGGACATGTAGATATATGTATGTATTAAGTGATCTACTTTTTTAAGTTTTCAGTTTAGTGACCTGTGGGAATTGCACATACTAGGTCAACATAAATAAAGTAAATTTCCTATGTCACAAAAGTGGTATATAAGCAATGAAATACATACAACTATTCATTTACTTGAAATCATTTTGTTGTGCACGTTAGGAATTGTTAGAACCATTAAATGATGTTGCAAATTACTCCTACTGCGTCTACTACACGAAATGTGTCATCTATATTGTGTGATGTAATGGCTATATTCCAAAGAATAATGCTTAGTTGTGTATTTTATACGTGGGTGCAACTTAAGCAAGCTTTTGATACATTTATGAAGGTAACAACTAAATTGTTCATTATTTCTTTGAAGGGAATCCAACACATCCTAACGGCTTGATTCAGGTAAAAAAGACCCATCTGGCCCTATGGAATATAAGTTTGTGAGCTTTGAATGCACTTTTGGAGGTATAGTATAGTAAGCTTGGGACGCTTAAAATACCAACCTTGCAACAATTCTCAGCAAAGTCTAACCAACGCGTCAATAATACCTTTTTACGGTAAATGAATATTTTATCTACTTCAAGTGAACCCAGCATGTACTGATAAGCAAAACCAGTAGTTTCTCATCTACTCCTGAAAATGTCTACAAAAAGAACATGGTGTTGAATTAGTGTCAGTCATGCTGAAAACCAAACCTGAGTTCTAGACTGTGAAATTAAAGGGTCTATTTAAGAAAAGATCCAGAATTTACTGACTGTAGAACGTTGGAATTAGTGAGATTTAATTCAGCATTATGGTAAGCTTGGGAGGAGCAGAACCTGGACTAGAAGGGCTGCAATAAGGCTGATAAGCTACTTCTGATAATGCGTAGAATAAGAACAAGGTGCTGAATTGGTGCCAGTCATGATGATAAACCAGCGCACAGTTCTACCTTAAGCAAATAATCCGTAACTGTTCTGCCACTGTTTGATCCAACAATGGCAGAACAGTTAAGGCGTTTAATTACTGAGAAAAGTTACTATATTAGCATAGTATGCGTGAATTGGCTCAATGATTGCAGATTTACCATAATCCTTAACTACCAACATAAAAACTGGGAACTGCAAGCTAAAAATAAACGTCTTAGTAGCATCCAGTGACAAAAAACTGACCTACATACTCCAAAACAAGCAAAACGTTCGAAAAAACCTTTAAAATTCAGTGGAAAACGAATTCACGAAAACATATAACCAGCAGACGCAGGAACCCATCATGACCTTGAAACTGACTATAGCGTCTTTCATATGTTAACTGCATCCACCTACGCAAAGTCAATCTTTGTTCACATTTTCTCACGACAAATCTTGGGAACGTAAATATTGACGTGAATTACTGTCTACCAATTTGGCTAGTAGACAGCTCTCACCACAACAGCAGCACAACTGTCAACATCCTGGATTATAATTCTGTATACACAAAAATGAATGGACAAAATAGCTGTGTATGTGAATACAAATCATAAAAGGGTGAATTAAACAAAACAACAAAATTCTAACATTTGGCGTGATCATCACGAGCAGTAAATTTGCTCGAAATATATGACCAAAAATATATCATTCTGTGTAAACTATTGATATATATATATATATATATATATATATATATATATATATATATATATATATATATATATATATATATAATTTATTTATCTACTACTCTACGACTATCAACAGAACCGAATAAAATCTAATTTTTAATGTATTTCTTAATTTGTTCTACCCTACCCCTCACAGGCTGGCGCAAATATGATTGTCTCTGGAACTGAAATAACAAGCAGCGAAAATCCTGCCACTGTAATCCAAATGATGCGATCTAACGTTGGCCAGCTGCTGTCGAATTAATTCAACAATATTGCGTAAAGTGGCTTATCAACCTTCCCTGCTATCACCACCATGGCCTTCGTCTTATTTTTATTCTCTCTCGAATCAGTGATTGAATTTTGTTTTATATTATATACCTTTTATTTAGCAAATATAATATATATATCTCGGGGAGGAAAAGTATATTTACATAAATATGCATTATTGTACAAAAATTTTTGGAACCGCCAAAGACGAGAGGGGGCGGAGGGTCAAGGCAAAAGGAAGGCAAGGGGATTAGGTATCACATATGCTCTGCATTATTTCAATTTGATTTGAGATAACGCTTTGGTGTTTGAAATTAAGGGCACTGGGTTCGAGCCTCGGTGGGAACATCATCACTCACTGAGAAATGCAGGTACGTTCAGATGACGAGTCCCAAGTAGGGCGAAATGCGCATCCTGGATTCCACTGCTAGTCACCATCCACAAATTAAATGTGTATTATTGTTCGTAAATTGTGCTCTCCACTGAGAATATCCTCGACGTAGTGCATTCTTAATTGTTTCATTAGTACTTATAAAACCACGCCAACGATCTTTTAAATTCACTTGACCTCGTTCACTATGTCGAAATGATTGACGCCATATTTGTGACCAATTTTCTCCACTGGGATTGTGCATTACTACTCCATGCCATAAAGTTATCGACTCTTTCGCTTTCCAAACAGTGGGGTTAGACAGGGTTGCCCAATCTCTCCATTTCTCTTTAACTTTGCCATCGATGATATTCTGGAGTCAGCTCTGAAGGATGTGCGTGAAGGTGGCGTAGATCTGCTACCTGGAGATAAACTTTTCGACCTCGAGTATGCAGACGATATCGTCTTACTGTGTGATAGCATGCAGGCTGCCCAAATCGCACTTAATCAGTTGGCGATCAGTGTCTGTAGGTATGGTATGTGCTTTGCACCGTCTAAGTGCAAAGTACTGTTACAAGATTGGCAGGAGCCTGTACCTGCACTCGCTCTTGCGGGTGAACCGCTTGAAGTTGTTGAAAAGTCTGTGTATCTGGGTAGTTGTGTGATTGCTGGCGGAGGAGTGACGGATGGGATTTCCAACCGTATAATGAAGGCTAGGGTGGCATACATCAACTTGAGCCACCTCTGGCGCCGTCGCGACGTTAGCCTGGCTGTAAAAGGTCGTGTATGCAATGCTTCGGTGCGGACTGTCTAGCTCTACGCCTGTGAAACTTGGCCTCTTCGAGCTGAGGATGTGCGGCGACTCTGCGTATTCAATGATCACTGTCTCCGCAGGATTGCTTGCGTTCGATGGCATCATCGCGAGTGTAATTCTGAGGTTCGGCGGTGTGTGTTTGAACACAGTGGAGATCACCATTCATTGAGTGTCGTCATCTGGAAACACCGGCTCCGGTGGCTTGGACATGTGCTGCGAATGTCATCCCAGAGGCTTCCGTACAGGTCTCTTCGCTAGCCCTGGGGCAGGATGGAAAAGACAGAGAGGTGGTCAGTGCATGACGTGGCGTCGTGGGATGAAAGGTATTTGTGCTAGATTAGCATCGGTTGGTGTGTCACGACTCCCTGGTTGGGGTCCGCGAGATAGCTCGAAACGTTATCGGATATGGCCAAGAATCGTAACCAATGGCGAACGTGTTGCGATTTCCTTCTTTCTTCCCTTCCTGATGATAGTTAACGAATACTGTTTGAACTTGTTAAACATGACTGTTTTCCTTCCAGATGAAGTTCTTTATCCATTTTCTACTTATATTTTCACTTTTAATCGATGTTGTTTTACTATTATTGTGTGGCGCATCTTTCTTGGTGCCATGTTGTACTAAGTTTTTTCTGCGTTTAAATAAATAAACTTTCGCTTTCCAAGGCAGTATAAGTGATGTTGTGCTTCCCATTTTGTATGTATATTACCTATTTCCTTTCTTTTTCTATGGATAATTGACAAAAGTGAGATAGAAGAAAAGAAAGAGGTGATTGGTTAATAGGCAAATGAAACAGGTGTGACTGGCGGCTGGTCTGTGAGTCGGTGGTTTTCAGTGGTAGGTCACTACTCACTCGCCAACCCGTGCAAGTGCCCTGATTCCCGGCCAATGTACTCGTTATCCTAGCTCAGTCGATAGTAAGCTTAGTAATAAAGAGTAAAGGATTGGTGGGCGTTAGTTAAGCTAGAAACCCCATTCTTTTGAAAATGTAAAGTTCAAGTTATCAAAACACATTTCAGAGATTATTGTCAGTTAGTAACAAAATAAATCAGTGTCAGAATAATCACTATTCGTAAGAAAAACGCAGTTTTTTGTTCAGCGAAGAAATTTCTTTTCAACGACTTCATTTTCAAGCTGTACAGTCGTATTTATATTACAGAAAAAAGGTTATTGAGTGGCACTAAATGATTGCTCAGTCAATATATATATATATATATATGATAAGAATAACGATAATTAAAATGTTATAAGAGGTAGAGTTGAAGGGGATGAATTACAAAATTAATTAAGATTGTTTTATAAGTGAATTGAAATCAAAAATGTCCTAAAAATGTCAAGTGTTGTCTAAAAAATTTTTAAAAATGAGGAGAACGATTACGATAAGAATGAAGATGTGAAGTGAAGTAGAATGGATCCAAGTGGTAAAATAAAATAAATTAAAAACTAGAAAGAACATTACTATGACCAAGGTAAAGAAAGGGGTTTGACAAAACGTTTTTGAACACATAATTTAGGTTTCTGTTCATGTATAGCTAAAGTTTCGGCTATGCATAAGTGAAGAAAACGTAAACTTTTGGAGCGATTCGATTTTGCCATGTAGATATCCTTGAAAAAGGGAATCCCATGGGGCTGAATGACCAGACTCTAACAGGTGATCACAAATAGACGAATTCGCAGTTCTACATTCGCCTTTCATTAACCAAACCGGAACGTGTTCAGCTACACGTTTTCGGAGAGTACGCTTACAACGTCCAATATAATCAGCTCCACAGGAGCAGGTAAAAGAGTAAATGCACATAGATGTGGACAAAAGCAGTAAGTAATCTATCCTTGACGCATTGTCTAATCATATTTCGGCTGGTAAAAAGTAGTTGCAAGTCAGCTGCAGGAAAAGAGCGTTCAATACATTTAGATAAACGATTTTTAATCAATTCAGAAATGGTGTCACAATTTCCTAAACGTATAGCAAATAATTAAGAGGACTACATCAAGTTTACTATGCAGTTATTCAGAGAGACTCAGCGAAGGATTTGAAGTGATGAATATAGCAGTAAGACAGGGCTGCCTGCCTGACTATTATCACCGATGATATTCTTAATTTTGGTGGACTGGATTATGCATCAAACTGTGCGTTGGGAGTGAAAAGACAGGAAAACACTGGGTTATTGATATAAGTATAAAACTTGGGCACTGTGGCAGAGCACAACTCCATTATGGATAAGGTTTTATTTTGATAAATCACACAGTGTTGTACAGTTATATTAACTGATGACCACATTTCGAGCATAAACTATTGCTCATAATCATATCAAGTTACTCACTCACACAACTTTTTTCCTTCATTTATATACATGTGTGGAATCGATTAGATATTGGAATAAAATTCAATAAAAGATGATGTACATTCAGAAATAATAATACGAGTTTTATTGATCAATTACAATTAGATGAAAAATAAGACGAGTGTTTTTACAGTCAAAATAAGTAACTTGTTAGGATGTTGTGATGTACGTGAATTGAAATAGAATTTTAAGATTATTTATTATCCTCTTCTGATTTGACCGGCGGTAATAATATCTTCCACATCTCTGGTATTTGCATTGAGTCATTTCTGTTGCATGTGTTGGGTGTAGACTCAAAGATTCCGTCGAACAGACAAGGTAATCCAGGGAAAGATTAAATATATGAATAAATGCCTCGACTTCAAATCATACTGCCATGTGGTGTATTGACCATAAATAAGACGGATTAGTAAATATTTAGAAAACAGAAAGATTGAGCGAAGAAATATTTACTTTTCAATTGGATCCTCATCTCTGGCTCTACTCTAATATATTATGTATAGCATTTTTATAACAATACACAACAATTTACCAATCAAGTGGCACTGATATGTTTGTTAACAATAATTAGTCAGTCTCAACATGTCAAACGGGGGTGATAATTAACGAAGAAAATTAATACACACAATTAAAAGGTAGAAATGGTTACAACAGGTGGATTGCAAAATGCATTATTTCGGAAAAATGAAGAGCAATGAAGGAATAGGCGTGTGCACAGGTTGATTACGCAACAGACTGTTAAAAAATAATAAAACAATTTGGAGGATGAAGTGGTCATAAGAATAAAATAATTTGGACAATTATAATTTTTAAAGGTTTAGCGGGAGTGGGGTGAAGTAGCTCGGTGAAGAAGCCAAACCTGTGTGATCAGAAGAAATTTGTGCAGCCACTTTCCTTACCTTAGCCATCGTTACATGAATGTATAATGTTAGAGTAGAGCCAGAGATGAGGATCTAATTGAAAAGTAAACATTTCTTCACTCAATCTTTCTGTTTTCTAAATGTCTAAATAGGAACTTTTTCTATATTGAAATCTTCCACATGTGTCAGAAACTAGGTGAATGCATCACGAAAAACATTTCCAACAGACTTACCAACAGCCGCCCTCATCGCTGACTCCAAACTGAACATCATATGGCTGGTCAGGGAAGAATTAGCAACAAGAAACTCTGGCTGGGAAAAAACCAACCAAGAGCCGATTGCTCAACAAATTTGCAGAAAATGAAGATGGACAGCGCACGCACTGAGACCGTCGAATGAAATCGCTCGAGCGCAATCCGGATGGGAAACGACGAGTGGGTTGTCAGAGAGAGGGTGACATGGAGGAGGTCATGAGGGATTATGAGCAATCATGGGCCTAGATGACGATGACAGCAGAAAATAGAACAAAGTGAAGATGTTTTGTTGAAGCCTTATGTTCCAGTCGGAACCCAAAGGAACAATAATAATTCAGAGACACAAAACTGACTGACATTAATGTCCGACATATGTAGTCAATTAACACTACATATTAACCCTCTGAATAAATGTACGGCTTAAAAGTGAACTTACGAAGAGATCTCTTTGTGCTGACTTACGCATTCTCAATTAAAGTCCTGTTTATCACGCGGAACGCAAACTTTAGTAAATGAAGTACGATGCTAACTGGTAATCAACTCTCAGATGAGACTTCTTAACTAACTTTCTCGCACATGAAGAAACCTTTGAGCATGCGTGCTTATGCTTAGATCACTTGTGTAATAGATGCATACCATGTTACAGAATGTTTTTAAATATTAGAGCCATACTTCGTGCAAAAAATTAATCAGTAAACTTATCTTACTAGCATGATTGAACTTTCTTCTTAACGCGTTTTTCGTATGGTTTTCATGATCTGAATTTTATTGCTTTTAAGTACACGTTAACCTTCGCTAAGCTATACAGTCATGTGATGGTAAAACTAAACAAAGATTATTCTTTTCGGTAGCTTTATCGTCACGTTCCATAGTTATCTATACATAATAGTGAATAAATTAGCGTCATTAACAACATTAATGTTGTTTAAATAACGTCGATTCAATAATAATAATAATTACGGAGAATTTAAGAAAATCAGTTCAAAGAAGTTTTAATGCTGGAGAACTACACGTCTTATTCTCTACACAGCCAATAGTGATTCCTCGAATGAAAGATGAAGTACCTAAACTAGCCACTTCCAGTTTTATCTACCAATTCAACTGTGCTTGTGGAGCGAGTTATATCGGCCGTTGCTCTAGGAACTTGATTTTTCGTCCTCGCAAGGGAACATATACCAGTATGATTAAGTAAAGGTGTAGGAAAATTATCAACAGTTCAATATTATACTGTAGGACCTGATGATGAAGTTATCGAAAAGAATATTCTCTGTTCATTAACTATTCTCTAGATGTAAACTAGCTAGAACACAGGTATCTAAATCGGATTTTTCGTGTATCAGGTCTATGAGCGATGCTCTCTTTCTCACGTTAGGTGGCATAATAAGGTAAGTAATGTTGACGTCAGGCGTAGGTAGAGTGTTGAGCAAAGAGGGAAAATCACTCGAAGAGGCTATAAAGTTACATAGATTGAGATGGCTAGGTCACGTGCTGTGCATGCCTAACCATCGCCTACCCCACCTCGACGGGCACTACTAGCTGATATCGGTGCAGGTTGGAAAAAAGTGATGGCCAAACAAAAACATGGCATCAATCAATCCATGAAATCCTTGACAGTTGAACTAAGTCAGGTAGGGAGATGCAGACTTCCAGGTTAGGGCCCTCGGGATTCTAAGAATCAATGGCTGGAGACAATAGGTGACATGGCTCAAAATCGTTGTCAATGGCTTACGCAGATATATTCAGTCTCTGTAATCTTTCATATTCCTTTCTACCATTACTCATTCTGTTTCACTCTTATACTTGTCAAAACTCTATTGATTCTCTTCACTCTCATTTTCTTGTCTACCTTTGTGTGCTCTTTGGAACGTGGCAACTCGAACTGCTGCACTTTGGTGCCAAGTTCTATGTTGAATCCAGACAGAGACAGATAACGAAAGCTATAGAGATTAATAAGAAGAAGCTTGACTTATGTCTGCAAAAACAGTATAATATTCATCTCATTCGTTTACCGTGGTATACTATAAGGTCATGAGGCATATGATCACGTCACCACCTTATGCCTTTTTTATTCCTTTTCAACAAGTTTACTTCACTCCATTATTATCCTGATTATTTGTCTACGCCTTTGTAATTTACACTAAGCTTATCATGTCTCTAGTATTTTATAACAGTTCGCAACTTTATCTCTTTATTTTATTCAGAACAAAATATTTAGAGCGAACAATTGTGGTTTCAATAAATTCTTCTTCAGGCTCCACAATTATAAATCCATTAATTTAAGCATACAATAGCCAGTCAGTAAAGGCAAATTAGAATCATATCAGAAAGTGTATTGTGGAACAAGTATAAGATGGGATGGAACAATAGTCAGTTAGATTTTTAATATGCATGGTTAATGTGAACATGAGATGAAATAATTTAATGATGTGTGTGTATATATATGAATATAGTCAACAGAAAAATACAGGATCCGAGAGTGAGTGTAATCAGGGTGTGAGACAATATGAAAATAGACCAACGAATGGGGCGGACTAGACATAAGTTCAAGGTTGAAAATAACGACAATGAGAATGATTGTAAAGTGTAACGATGATATGGTGTAAAATTACAAGCACTATTGGTGAATGATTGTCAAATAATAAAAATTATGAATATAATGAAGTGGAATGAACAGGATTTTGTAAATACGATAGCAAGTTAGAGAGGCACTAATTAGACCTAAGGTAATAAAATCATAAGAAAGGTCATGAAATCATAAAAGTCGAAAATGAACGTTTGTCAATGAAACAGAGGAATAGAAGAAGAAGAAAAGAAAATTGTGAAAGGAATTTATAGTGTTAATGGAGGATTTGTTGGCTTTATTGTAGGCCAAGGTAAACATAGTGGTTGAACATACTTCTTCTGTATGCAAAGAGATGGTCTTCTGGTATTAATTGCGACCGCTTCAGCTACTGATAGAAGACGTAGTCCAGATCCTCTAGATAAATTACTAGGAACGCGGTAAATAACTGAGAACGCCTGGTCAAGTTTTATCGGGTGTCCAGTATCTACCAAGTGGGCTAAGACTGCACTATTTACACATTTGGTTACTCCTTTACTCAACCATACAGGTACATGTTTACGCGCGCGCATGGATAAAGCCCTCTGAGTATGGCCAATGTAACTAGCTCCACATGAGCAGTTGGATTCATAGATGCATATTGATGAGGCCATCTTTGGTAATTTATCCTTGACTTACTGTGTGAGTAATGGTTTAGTTGAGTACCAGTTTAGCTGCAGGAAATGTTCTATCTACTGCTCTATTAAGTCGACATTTTAGAATGTCAGCTGCAATTTCCCCTTTGTAACTTAAGCTACAAAGGTTTCTTGTCTACGGTATCCATCTTTACCCTGTCTGTAGGTAGTGACATATACTTTTTTAGGAAGCTCTGTGGATATCCATTTTCTTGCAGTGTGAGCTTCAGTTTATGCATTTCTTCCTTAATGCATTCCCCTGAGTATATACGTTTTATTCTATAGCTAATACACTTAACTAAGTTTCTTTTGTACTGAATCGGTGTGAAGCTATGGAAATGCGTGTACTGACCCGTCCAATTTTTCTCTCTAAATGATTTCCTTTGTAGATATCCGTCTGTCTTCCTGGTAAGGAGGATGCCTAGGAAAGGTAAACTGTTATGGTCTTCTTCACATGTAAACTGAATAGTTATTTTCAACCTTACACTTATGTCTAGTTCGCCACATTCGTTGGTCTATTTTCATATTGTCTCACACACCCTGATTACACTCACTCTCGAAACCTGTATTTTCTGTTGACTATATATATATATATATATATATATATATATATATATACATCATTGAATTAAATTACTTCATCTAATTTTGTCCCATGTTCTTATTGACCATGCATATTAAAAAACTGACTATTGTTCCATCCCATCTTATACTTGTTCCACAATACACTTTCTGATATGATTCTAATTCGCCTTTACTGGCTATTGTATGCTTAAATTAATGGATTTATAATTGTAGAGCCTGAAGAAAAATTTATTGAAAACAATTGTTCGCTCTAAATGTTTTGTTCTGAATAAATTATGGGAATATTCAATATACACAATTATATATTTTCAAAGAAAAAATATATATATTTACATAAATATATGTATTAGTGTACAGTAATTTCTGGAATGGTAAGGGGAAGAATATCTTTGGGGGGGAGGGGGTTAATTATCACGTACAATGATTGGTACAGGTAAATGGATCGGCTTCTTTGGACTACCATTATTATTGGTAAATTGTGCTTTCCACTGAGAATATGCTCGACGTATTGTATTCTTAATTGTTTCATTAGTACTGATAACACGCCAACGATCTTTTAAATTCACTTGACTTCGTTTACTATGTCGAAATGATTGACGCCATATTTGTGACCAATTTTTTGCACCCGGATTGTGCATTACTCCATGCCATAGAGCTATCGATTCTTCTACCTTCCAAGGTAGTCGTAGTGATGTTGTGCCTTCATTTTCTATGTGTATTATATACTTTCTATTTTTCTCTATGGATATTTGAGCAAAAGGGAAAGAAAAAGAGAAGAAACAGGCATATAAAAAATATAGTAATTTTTCTTGGCAACAAAAGGAATATTTCCAAAGATGTGTTAATGCAATTGTTAATTTTTGACAACAAATTACGTAATTTAGAAGGCGTTAATCGGTTAGAAACTAAAATAAAGTTACAAAAGTAGGTTGGGTGACGTAATCTAATTGATAGGGTTCAATGAAAAATGAATGAGAGTCAAGTTAATAAGCTGAGTAGAATTCACTTAAAAATAAACGAAAATGGAGTTAGCAACAGTCGTCATGAGGGTAGAGATTTAACAGAGGGTGGGGGTAGAAAATAATGCAGTTACGAAACAGACAAACAGAGAAGAAAGAGGTAAGACAAAATTACGTATTTGGTGTTAAGATAGATCAGGACCATTGTATATTTAGTGACTGAACAAACTTCTTTTGTATGCAGAGTTCAGGATTCAATATGTGCATCTACCAATTCACCTGCTCATGTGGAGCTAGGTATGTCGGCCGTACCCAGCGTTTGCTATCCAAACGAATCAGCGAACACTTACCTTCATGGTTTTATAAAGGAGAAAGAAGATCCCCCCGCCACAGCTCTATCCTAGAACACTTGATCGAATCCGGACACCAAGCAAACCCACAAAACAACTTCTAAGTTATCTACACAATACGTGGGAATCTTGCCGAAAGAGTACTAATTAAACTTCTTCAAACTGCAGAAGCAATGGCAATTCACATATTGAATCCTGAACTCTGCATACAAAAGAAGTTTGTTCAGTCACTAAATCTACAATGGTCCTGATCTATCTTAACACCAAATACGTAATTTTGTCTTACCTCTTTCTTCTTTGTTTGTCTGTTTCTTAACTGCATTATTTTCTACCCCCACCCTCTATTAAATCTCTACCCTCATGACGACTGTTGCTAACTCCATTTTCGTTTATTTTTAAGTGAATTCTACTCAGCTTATTAACTTGACTCTCATTCATTTTTCATTGAACCCTATCAATTAGATTACGTCACCCAACCTACTTTTGTAACTTTATTTTAGTTTCTAACCGATTAACGCCTTCTAAATTACGTAATTTGTTGTCAAAAATTAACAATTGCATTAACACATCTTTGGAAATATTCCTTTTGTTGCCAAGAAAAATTACTATAAATTTGCGGTTTGTACAGCTTGAGAATGATATCGCCGAAAAGAGTAACTCTTTGCTGAACGCCTTTTCTTTTCTATGACTGAATGGGAATTTTCAAATATAAAAAATATCTGTAACTGATGACTAGTCTGTGAGTTGGTGGGTGGTCCAGTGTGACTTGGGGTTCAACCCCAGACACCGACTCACTCCCAAATCTTGATTTTCCGTTAGTAAATCCGATCAAGAGGGAAGGTTGTTGAGTGTGAGACTGGCAACCCTTTTTTGCTGTCAGAGAAACTTCAAAACTCAAGCAGTTTGAAACCCGTATGTTCCACTCGGAACAACACTACAGGGACAATAAAAAAATATGACTAGTCAAGCGACACATGCCTTGATAACATACAAAAATCAGATGCTAATGTTACGAAGGAACAGTACTACATTATAGGTTCGTCTGACTTGGCTTCCGTCGTTTTCAGTGCACACAGAGTGAAGAGGAAGTGAAGAGCCATTAAGTAGAGGAGTTGCATTAGTAGAAGGAAGGCAAGATAATAGAGATGAAGATGAAGACAAAGATGAGTGAGCATTAGAGAGGTTTCGCGTGCACTTCGGATTGTGAGGGCGATTGTTACTTCCCGGCTGCCCACACCCTGGAAGTTGGTTACGTGACCGCAGAGCCCAGGGGACAACTGCTTGAGGCCGGTCACACACACCCTGTTTTTGTTTGTTCTTTTTCACTTGGTGTGTCTCAGCAGCATATTTATCACTTCTGCCCTGTGACACAGCAGCAGGAAGCGCGGTCGTTATTAATCCGAGCCCCGACCGATCCGGCATGATATTTTGTGATTTACTTTGAGTCATAGCATTGGGTTGAGTAACTGCTTTTTGTCTAACCGCTATCCAAACAACCTTTCTGGCATGGTAGGACCTACAGGAACATAAATTCCAGCCAGTATAGCTTGTTGGGTCATTGCGGTGTTCAAGCCCGACCACCACGTCAAGGTAGCAGCTTTCGGTCGGGTGGCCAGAAAAAACATGGCCTCATCAACCCATTAAATCCCTGACAGTTAAACTGAGTCAGGTAGGGAGATGCAGACTTCCGGGTTGGGGCCCGCCCTCGGGACTCTAAGAATCAATGGCTGGAGACAATAGGTGACATGGCTCAAAATCGTTGTCAATGGCTTACGCAGATGTATTCAGTCTCTGTAATCTTTCATATTCCTTTCTACCATTACTCATTCTGTTTCACTCTTATACTTGTCAAAACTCTACTGACTGTCTTCACTCATTTTCTTGTCTACCTTTGTGTGGTATTTGGAACGTGGTAACTCGAACTGCTGCACTTCGGTGCCAAGTTCTATGTTGAATCCAGCCAGCCAGTCGTCTGACTTGACTGGAATACCTCTCCAGACTCAACAATACAACTAACTGGTCACTTGAAAAAATATCCCTCACACTGGGATAGATACAAAAGCCAGATTCAACTGGAGCAACATTTATTAGACAAAACACATGGTATATCATGTTTACATAGCCTCGGGAATTTAAGCGATGAATAAACGCATAACAAAAAACTGTCCAGTCAAGTTATCATGTCAGGTGTGTACATAAATCATGACTTCACAGCTGACAAGATTGTCCACCCTAAGAAGCTAAATGCATGTCTATGCTCGTAGAACTCAGTTAACTGGAACGACACAACGCATGACACACATTTTGTGTCCAAGGTGATAACACTACTTATTTAGCTTCTAAGGATGAAGTAGAAGGAGAGCAATTTGAACTCACGACCCATTGGAAGAAATTCGAGTATTTAAGTCAACTGACCGATGAGCCCATTGTCTATGCAGTAGGCACACCAACTGCAATTACTACTCGACATCTTTGCAGATTTCATCATACAACCAACATCAGTTAGAGATCATTGAAAACCACGAAGCACTGGACAGCTGTTTCATGCTAGATTAGAACTCCTCATCATTCAGCACACACGACTGTATCAGGGAGTCAATCTGGGACTTTCTAGTTACAACACCTAGCTCATTGATAGTAGTTACTTCGTGAGACTATGACTAGTGACCACCTCTTTGATATTAACTAACTGCCGAAATCAATCTGTTCGTACAGGAAGAAAATATTACGTACACCTAGATAACCTATGGGTGATAGATGCACAATATATCAGGGAATTGGTTACAGGATTTTCATCATGAGCTGACATTGGTTAGAGAACCACTGGAAAACCTGGGAGTACTGGACAACTGTTTCGTCCTAGTTTGGGACTCTTCATCAGTACGCACCCACCGGGATTCGAACCCAGGACCTTCTGGTTACAAGGCGAGCTCGTATACCATTAAGCCACTGGGACCTGATCCAATGGCCCATGAATTCTAACTTCTGCCAATTCACGACATAGCGCGACCCCTAGTCGATGTCTTCGGCGAGTATTTGTCCTCATACCCGACCTGCTGCACCCTACTGGTCACGACTTCTCACTAGAACCCCAGGTAACTACCTACCTGAATAGGGCAAATCGCTAGTGAGCATCTCATTGATATTCTAGTGTTGGTTTGTAGGGTTTTCGAATGGTTCTCTAACTAATGTCAGCTCATGATGAAAATCCTGTAACCAATCAAATCCCTACAAACCAACACTTGAATATCAGGGAATTATTTTGACGTTAATAGTCACATTTTGTGCTAAAAGCCAGTGAAACTGTCTTAGTAATGCGATGTACTATTAACCTTAACACGATTTCGTATGATTACAATGTATTGAATTTTTATTGTTTCGAGCAGAGGGTCACCTTAGCTGAGTGATACAGTCATGTGATGATATTGCATAAGAATGGAGACACTATGTAATAGATTTGGGGCTGATGTACAGTCAACTGAGTAGCTCAAATATATCGATATATATGTATCAACGGGTTGTGCAATACGTACGACTACCTGACATAAATAAATGAGTTAGAACACTTCTCTTATATGACGTAATAGGAATTTCTGAGTTATTTTTAGTGTATTTCCTTATTAGGCGCCATTCTACTTTTGATCAAGCTTTAACTGTCTTGAACCAAAAACATTGCGCTAATTACATGATGAGAATTATGTCGCTGAGGTGAATTTCAGTTTGGAAGACACTAACGTTGATGTTATTAGGATATCATTGAAGATTGTTGGCTGGCTTCACAACACGTGTCAAGAAATTAGACTAATTGAAGCGAAATCGCCAAAACTCAGCAATCACTTTCGGCGTACTCACACACCGGTGTGCACTGTTGACTGTAGACTACCCAGTCTTAGATGCAAAAAAGCTAATCACAAAAATCTATCGCAGTTTAACAAGTTCAATGGGCAAAGTCCATTTCGTGAAAGATAGATTGACTGACTAATACTAACAAAATATTTTTGTCAAAATATATGAAGAAGTAATTTCCTTCAAAACAAAATAAATCAATAAATAATTAGCAATCGCATACCTTCAGGTGCTGGTGTAGATGGTCCCGGTGTCTTGGGTGTTCCACAAAACTCGTTAAAGCACTTCTTTTCAACTAGTCTTTTGCATTTTCTACTACGAGTTTCCTTAGGTCTGACTGCCATCTCATCGCCACTAGTTGAAGATGTCAGTTCGAAAATATCAGAAGCACCTAAAAGATTTCAGGGTTCGTGGAAAAAGCGAAGCAACAGATAGAATAAAAGTAAGAAAACGTTTGCTAAACTCTGTTGTATACTGTATTTACATATATATATATATTTGGGAAGTTAAAACTAGAATATTTTTTTATTCCTTCACGTTCCCCAGTGGAACATAGGGCTTCAAGTTTCTGTAGCAGTGTTTATTTTTACAGGATGGGGTTGCTAGCCTCATGCCCAACCTTCCCTCTTCACCAGTTTTATTTCTGGCTTAGCGAAGCAAAGCAGTGCGTCGGCTGGGGGTCGAACCCCCGACCATGTGCATGGTCGGCGAGAGTCCTAACCGCTATGCCACCGACGCACACAGTGGTATACGAGCTTGCCTTGTAACCGGAAGATCCTGGGTTCGAACCCCAGTGGGTGCGTACTGTCGATGATTCCCAAAACTAGAATATAAAAGTTATTTATTGAACAAACTACTAGTAGTCGTATTATCTTCAGTCAAGGCATCAGACTATACAGTCCCAGTCTCGATGGTCTAGCATATGCTGTCACTTGAAGGTCTCCTCCATATGTATGTCCAATCTAACTTCATTTCCTTGTGCATAGTTTTTTTGGCCAATGAGATTGTTGGCTGATTCGCCGAATATACCAGAGTTTCTTATTGCTGAGTATTTCTAGCAACCATGTGATAGATACTTAGTTTACCAAGTGAAGGTGAACTGTGTTGATGAAACTCTACAGTTATCTGGTGGAAATGCTTCTAGCGTTAATTTAAGTGCAATCTCATATTGTTTCGCGAACTAGATGTATTCATAATCAACTGGAGTCGATTCCTTCTGCAGAACTGAGCACCGAAAGCGGGGTAGATTTTACATATGAGTTAATATCTGTAATCTTAGTTCGTTGGACAAATCAAAATCACCAGTGTAGAATCTCGTTAGCTTAGCTGTGCAGTGATTCAATTTGCCAAGCCTCATTTCCCAACATTAAGTATCGTATATCACTATGGTATATGAGACAATCATGACGAAATCAAATTCCTAAGGTTCACAAAACTACAACAGCAGTGAACCAGTTAAAGGGAAATAATTTTTCTTAAAAAACTAACTCAACGAAGATAGCCGCGTAGATTAGAAGATTCTATGGTTCCACTTGGGGAAGGGAATTGTATCTGATTACAGGATTTCATCATGAGCTGCTATTGGTTAGAGAACCATTGGAAAACCTGGGAGTACTGGACAACTGTTTCATTCTAGTTTGGGACTCTTCATCAGTACGCACCCGCCGGGGTTCAAGCTCGCCTTGTAACCAGAAGGTCCTGGGTCCTGTAACCAATCAACCAAATCCCTACAAACCAATACTGGAATTGCATCTATCGAACGATTCTGAAGTTAAGCATTATCTTATTGATACTGGTTGAATGACTGATTTGTTTCAACACACAACTTTGAACAGATGTGCGCCAGTTCGAGTTTCCATTGTCCCTCCATGTGACACACAAAGTAAAAGAAGACGGTAAAGAGAAATCCAAAAGAGAGATAATAAACAGAAGAGTGAGGCAAAAAGAATAGTGATATGGAAGAACAACTGGGTTTTATTGCATATGATAAATCACAAAGAGTGAATGCATTGTTGCTAGGCATTGAGAACGAGGATTTTGAGCCATGTCACCAATTGCCCTCAGTCAATGGTTTTTAATATCCACCAAGACCTTAACCAGGCAGTCTACACCTCTCTACTCGACTTTAACTGACTATTAAAGGTTTCACAAACTGATTACAAGTTTTGGTTTGATCCTGATCCACCCTATGTCCGACGAGGAAGGCGATCGATGGCTACGGGGGTGCATGCGTAACACATGTTCTAACCATTTCATCAATCGATGTAACTTCACAAACTCGTCCGTTGATTTTCCTTCCCTGTCTAGCACTCGACAGAAGCCTAACCTCAATATCGCTCACCCTATTATACCACTTAACACACAGGATATAGAAAGCAGACACCTATAATCAAAGACAGCTAGCTAGCCTTTTCACGTATTCCAACGGCCATGGCTCACAGACATAAAGGAGGACGAAGCGAACTGCTGAGGAGAGTAGTACACACGTCCTTTGGTCGCCAGTGGGGAATCAAATCAACCCTAGAGATGTGAATGAAGTCAATTAGCTAAGCGAAAACTGTAGGATTCGATCGAATGAACTAAGAAATCTAGAAAAGGACCAGACATCCATATACACTCACTTACTAAGTATGATACTGTCACCTGATACTGACCGATATTACATAATGAGCAGAAAGAGATAAAGATCATATACTCCCTGTGCATAGAATCAACACCACATACAACTTACAAGAGAAATAAACTCCAATCAAAGTATCTTCAATGAAACCACACCATATTTAAAACAATCAACAAAGGTTAATAAAGCAGGATTTAATAAGTCCATCAAATTTCGGTAGAACTCTTCAGCTGAACAATCTGCATACAGGGATATATATATATATACCATTAGAATTACATTGGGAGAAATAAAACTTGTAAGCAAATACACTACATTGAATCAGTGATGCGAAACTACTGGTTCTTCAGGTCATGTTCAAAGAGATAAGGGGAGAGGGAGTATGACAGATTAAAATTAAGACAAAATGCATTACGGCTTAACTATATCACTTAGATAAACAATTAGTCAGTTATCAGAGGAAGAACTTCAATATATCAAGAATTCAAAATACTAAATATTCCCATAGGAGAAATCGGAACAACACACTCAAGCGAACACTACTGTTTTCAATTCAATATTAAGAATTGCGAACTGAATAATGCTGATGATGATAATAATGGTAATAATGTTGAAATAAGTCAAGATAATGGAACAGATAAAAAAGACAGTCTTAAGTGAATTAGAAATAGTAATAGTAAGAGGTAGAATAAAATAACCGTAATAATAAAAGATGGATTGGACACTGGCTGAGGAGGCCGCTGGGTGACATCGCGCGTCAGGCCAACGCTCGAGTGGAACCCGAAAGGGAAGCGGCGAGTTGGTTGTCAGTGCAAGGGTGACATGGAGGAGATCGTGCGAAGAGCAGTATGGATTAACATGGATGCAGGTGAGAAGTACAGCAGAAGACAGAAGCAAGTGGAGACGTGTAGTTGAAGCCCTATGTTCCACTAGGAACCCAAGGGAACAATAATAATAATAAATAATAAAAGTTAATAAATAGAACATAATACCATGGTAGATTCAGAGTGACCACCATTTCCTTCTGTATTCAGAGACCTGGTTTATAAACTCTCATTGCACAAGCCTCTACGACTGCAAGCATCTTCCTGTTTGTTTGTCTACTGACATCAGTGAATGACTTGACAACATCAATATCGCATCCGTATTCCATAAGAAGCCTTGTTATTGAACTTTTTGGCATTTTGACTTCAGCAGTTTTAGACCACTTTGGCAAATGCTCCACATCATATGAGCGGACAATCACCTTCCTGTACAACCTATGTATTTGCTTCCACGAACACACTCAAATTGATATACGCAGTTCGAAGTGTAGAGGATTAGCAACCAAACTTCCCCATGTTGTTGAAGCACCCACTTGGTAGTATTTAGGAACACGAATTCTCCAGCATAAGACTTGCTATCGATGTCTGCTGCATTTCGGAGACCCGCATTCAAGAGCCCAGTGAGATGCTTCGAATATCTTCCCCATCTGGAAGTTCGAATAATATGTACTACCTGCACTTATCCGGGGACCGTGTGGCGTTGGCATTCGGAGTAGCTGGTGTCGGTCTTACACTAAGTGCTAGAGCTACGGCTGCTACATTACTCTACTGGATCCCCATTAACAGTCGTTTATGTGCTGAGTCTATAAGAGAGTAAGGAGCAGTAGGCCAGATATGTAGTGCCTATTTGTTGTCTCTGCCTATGTAGCTACAGATTGCAACCCGGATGCAATTAAGCGTGAGTTTAACTACCAACTGAGCGATCTCCTGAAACAGGTGCGTCAGAGATATCGTAGTGTTGGTTGGGGACTTGAATGCTGGCCATCAGCGCTAGCATCCACCATCATTAACTACAGTGCTCCTCGTTCGGTCAATGCCAACCCATCCATCAAAGCAGAATTCCGAAAGAAAATAAGTGTGTCGAAGTGCTATTAGGCACCAGGCCCTCGCCAACACTACGATATCTCTGACGCACTTGTTTTGGAAGATAGCTGAGTTGGGGAAGATATTCGAAGCAAGTCACTGGGATATTAAATGCGTATATCCGAAATGCAGCAGACATCGGTAGCGAGGCTTTCCAATGTTCTGATCAGACCTGTCTGTTGTCCGATTTGAATCAGTGTCCAAACATTGTTGATGGTAAGCCTGGACGCGATACACGGTTTTAGGATATTTGTGTGAGATATCGCACTGGGGACCAGCATTTTGAAGGGTACTCACTAGCATCTCGAAAAAGCACAGATAGGCTTAGAATTCAGACGAAGGCGACGAAAGTGAAGACACCAAAGTAAAACATAAAAGTCTATGTAAAAAAATAAAGTTGAGAAGAAATGAGTCACTTGAGGTATAATTAATGTTTGAGAGCGTTGTAATGAGCATGCAATCAGTTTTACTAGTATTTCGTTGTTTCATTTCATTGACTGTATGAAGGCTGAGATACTGCCCGGGTGCCCAGACCGAGCTTACTTTACTTTACCTTACTTCGGCTATCTCCTACGGGAGGATGAGCCGGCTTCATGAACATCTCGAATCATCGCTGCCCAGGCGCGGCGACCTGATGAAGAGAGTTCATGAAGTTTCATGGGAATTTGGTACGTGTGATGTCCCCAGAATCGCTCGGCCTTTTGTTTGAGAGTGCAACTCTAGCCTTTACACAACCAAGTGTGACTTACAAGGCAGTAGGAGTGGAGTAGGGAGTCCACTATCCATTGGAAGCCGGTCACCGGAGTTCGGTTCATACGCCTTTTTGAATGGGGCTAGACATCCAGGACATCCAACAAGCCCTTTGTCCATACGTCTGCCGGTGAGCTCCAGTGAGCTTCATACGCCAGTCGTTGGAGGTTTGGAATCAGGGTTTAGCCATCTCCCCTTGACTGTCATCCAATGGACAGTCAACCCGGTGAAGAGCGCCGGGCATCCGCTTTCGCCCTCTCACTTTGGTGAAAAACACCTCCACCACGTGAAGGCAGTGAGTAGGACTTCCTCAGGAGAGGCTATGTAAGACGCCCGGTCATATGGGAGCATTTCAAGAGGTGTGCGGAGGGGTGGCAAACCCGCAGCGCAAGGCACCCACCCTCGACCATCCTGAGGCTTTGAAGGAGGTTGTTTTAAGGGACCGCCCCCGAACCTTCAACTTAGAGTCTCATCCGCAAGGCAGCGGAGCAGCGTCAGGAGCTACATTCCCATTGTTGCCGGTGACCAATACAGGTTCATATACCATTCAATCCGTCTGGATTCTGGAGCCCATGTACCCCACAGTAACTGCTTTCAGTTTAACCGCTATCCAAACAACCTTCCTAGCACTGTAGGACCTGCAGGAACAAAAGTCCCAGCCAGTGTAGCTTGTTGGGTCAATGTAGCAGTTATCGGCCGAAATCCGAATCTTAACTTCACAATAGAACACTAGGAAAATGATACCATTAAATTCCTAGATGTTTCTCTAGTGAAAACGACTGATGACACAATGGAAAGGTCTATGAAGTTTTATTCCGATCTAATATAAAAAGAACTTAGAACAGTATTCAACAGAGCACGAAAATTTTGCTCTGACAGTACAACCGAACATGAAATAAAGACTCTGAAGGAAATCTTATCTAAGAATGGATATCCTGAGAAGTTCATCAATAAATACTCTAAAGAGATACACCCCAGTAAAATTATCCAAACAGTTTCAAAGACATATGTATGTATCAATTTGCCACTCAAAGGAGATTTACAAGAAGTAGTCAAAAGAAGTCTGTCTGTTTTCCACATATGTGCGGCAGTCGCCACACTCCCTCTATGTACCACACAAAGGAAGAGAAGAAAGTAGGAGAAATTCAAAATGGAGACAGTAAACAGAGGTGTGAGACAAAGGAATAGTAATAAAGAAGAACAAAACAGTTTCATTGGAAATCATAAGTCACAAGGAGTGGATGCATCTGCGCCACTGAGAACGATTTTGAGCCATGTCACCAATTGTTTTCAACCATTGGCTTTTACTGTCCCGAGGACCCCAACCAGGAAGTCTACATCTTCCTACGTGGCTTAGACTAACTGTTGTAGATTTCGTTGACTGGTGACATGTTTTGGTTTGACCACCACGTGCTAGCTCTTTTCCAGCCTGATTATATATCAGCTAACATTGCCCGTCGAGGAAGGCGATGACTAGGCATACGTAACACATATCCTAACCATCTCAGTCGATGTATTTTCACAGCCTCGTCGATTGATCTCCCCTCCTTACCTAGCACTCGACAGACGCCTAACCTCAATATTACTCACCCTATTATACCACTTCACACGGGAGATAGAACGCAGACACGTATGATCGAAGACAGCTAATCTTTTCATGTCTTCCGCTCTCAATGGCCACGTCTCACAGCCATAAAGGAGGACGGAGCGGACTGATGAGCAGTACACATGCCCTTTGGTCGACAGCCAGTCGGATATCACGTCTACGCCAGAGACGGTGTAAACTGGAATATGCGAAACTAGCCCTCTGTATCCGTACTGAGATTTCGTCAGAGGTCAACTCGTTGGGGGTGATGGTACTTCCCAAATAAGTGAAGCGGTCAAAAGAAGACTCAGTAAAGCTTCTTATGCTGGAAAATTCGTGTTCCTAAACACTACCAAGTGGGTGCTTCAACAACATGGGAAAGATCGGTCGCCAATCCTCTATACTTCGAACTGCGTATATCAATTTCAGTGTGTTCGTCGAAGCATATATATATCCCTGTGTGTAGATTATTCAGCTGAAGAGCTCTACCGAAATTTGATGGACTTATTTAATCCTGCTTTATTAACCTTTGTTGATTGTTTTCAGTTCGTATAGAGAAATAAATGATACAGTATAACAATATCTTTTACGTGTAATTATACTCTTTGACAATGGCCAGATTGTACTGTTACATCAATAACTCGATTCTCATGTCATTCGGATATAGAAGAATCCCAATTTTTCGTTTTAGCAGACTGATTCAATCGGTATCAAGAAAATGTTCCAAAGGAGATATATGCATGTGTCGGAATCGATCCCGACATGTGTGTAAGAAATTAGTCAGGTATATCGGAACTCGGATTCCACTGCTAGTCGTGATTAACTAAGTTATCCTGAAACCTCTTCAGTCACCTGATTATCGATGTATGCGAGATAAACTTAGAGAACATTAAGATAGAAAATAAAATAGACTTGATTAAGTGGATTGGATGACGTAATACAGCTGAGTAGAATTCAGAGTAGGTCAGGTCGGCAACAATGTTAATGAGTGGTGGTTAAAATTAAACAAGGGTAGGGGTAAAGAATAATACAGTTGAAAATAAGTAAGTTAATCGGATGACGTAACATAGTTGACTAGAAATTGGACGTGGGTCAAGTTAGCAACATTGTTAATGAGGGTAGAGATTACAAAAGGGCGGGGTAGAGAATAATATAAGTGAAGATGTGAAATAATAAAATGCAGCTGAATTACGACTGACGTTCTCTACGAGACAAATGATTCGCATGAACGTAAAGGATAAGCTACCGCTGTTGGCCTCATCTATGTGCATCTACCAATTCACCTGCTCGTGTGGAGCCAGGTATATCGGCCGTACTCAGCGTTCGCTATCCAAACGCGTCAACGAACATTTACCTTCATGGATTTATAAAGGAGAAAACCGATGCCCCCGCAGCTCCATCCTTGAACATTTGATCGACTCTGGACACCAAGTCAAACCAGAAATAAACTTCAAAGTTATCTACAGAATACAAGGCAATCTCGCTAAAAGTGTACGGATCAAGCTTCTCCACATCGCAGAAGTAATGGCAATTCATCTGCTAAATCCTGAACTCTGCATACAAAAGAAATTCGTTCATTCATTAAAACTACAATGGACGTAATCTTTCTTAATTTCAGTCTTACTAATTGTATTATTTTGTCTTTTGCATTTTATTATTTCACATCTTCATTTATATTATTCTCTACCCCACCCTTTTGTAATCTCTACCCTCATTAACAATGTTGCTAACTTGACCCACGTCCAATTTCTAGTCAACTATGTTACGTCATCCGATTAACTTACTTAGAGAACATTAGTGTCAGGAGGCTCAATTAATTAGTCAATGTACATAATATTATATTCAAATATTCCACAACATAATTTTCTTTCAATAACACAGAACTTACTTTGTGGTTGTTGTTGTACAGTATTCTCTTGTGTGCTTGTAGATACAATATTTTCACAGTCTGACAATTCATCATTACTCAACGCTTTCAAAGTATACCAAGTGGTAAATAATGATGACAGTTTGAGTAGATGCTTTTGAATATTTGTAAGATTTACAGATATCTTCTCAACATCTTCACTCTGGTATTGTACAATCTCTTTATTGACTTCCTTATTCTGTAAATTAATTGAAAATGTATTCATCATTCATTCATTAGTCAATTAAGGAAACAGACATTCTTTGTAATTTTTACAGTCAAAGCAATGAGAATGAAAACTGACCAATCAAAGGTGAAATAAATCTACGTTTTTGAGCAATATTTGAAAAAATTTCTTTATTGCAGTTCCTGTAGCTATTGGATGTCATGGACATATGATACATAGGCTTCATAGACACTCACACAAGACTCAAGTGTGGATATTCACTTAACCCCAATCTGGTCAACAGAATAACGCTGTGAAATTCACCTCATGGGTGACAGAAGATTCTTCGTCTAACTCGCCAAAATTCACAAGTGTGGGGATAGCATTGAGCACTAGGGAGTAAAATACCTACTCGACTCGATCCAAGTGAATCGTCGTGTGTGGACAGTCTGTCTGGATGGATATGTTAGATAATTGAGATGCCCGTCGACGTATTTAAAACTTACGTCCCAACAGAATGGATTTCGCTTGAATTAAGGGAGTCAATCCCGTTAAAAGCTGTCTAGTTTACCGCTAAGAACAAAACGCTCAGATATGGTCACCCTAGCAGGCAATTTCAATGACCAAGCAAGGAACTCACGCCAGTCAGAGTAACATAATGACAGCACCTATGGAGTCACAGGCAGACAAACTGATAAAGGTGATCGTCTTCTACAAAACCACTCACTAAATCATCTGTTTCTCATAACAGCTAACTTCAAACACAAAGAGAAACATTACTTAACCTGGCCACCTCCATCGTCAAATCAACGATGAACTCAAGTAGGCCACACAGTGATAAGTTATGGATGCCTACTTTCGGCAGAAAACTGCCGCTCGCTCTCTCTGAACCATTTGCGTAGACTCCCATCACACCCTCGTCCGTGCACATATATACTTACGATTCAACGGACACAGAAAACAGGCAGTGATGAAGCTGTTACGCCCCCAACTTGACCACAATACTGTTTCTATTCAAGGAAGAAACAACTTAATGTATGTGTGAGATTGATATGAAGACCAATCTTGGGGAAGTCTCGCATGATATCCAAGTCAGGTGTTGAAACAGTGGTAAAGGCTGCTGATAACCTAAAACCAATGACTAGTAGTTGCCAGTGGATTCCTGCTACTTCATTCAAACTGACTGACGCAAGAAGACTGATTTCGGTGGGCTCCACGAACGATGACGAGCGAAAACTGTTGAAATGCAAGCTCACCAAAAGCCTTCGCAACGACTACCAACTGTGGTGGACGATAATGCGGAAGAGATGGAAAAGACATCGGCGGTAAGTAACATCAGGCAACTATTTAGGCTTACTAGAAAAACAATTTGCAAAAAGCTGGTGATAAATGAGACAATCTCCGAAAAAAGTGGCTCTAAAATGAGCTCTCAGAGCAGACAACTGGAACGTTGGAGGAGACTGTCTTTCAGACACGCTCAGCCCGCCCAGCAACTAACATCTACTTGTATTGGATGTAGACACTAGTTTTCCATCTCAAACTGAGGCTACTATGGCTGTCTCTAATCCCAAATGATGTAAGGCAGCAGGACCTGTTGGAATGACTGCAACGGCGTTTAGGGACGGTGGTGACAAACTGTTGTCTGGGTTACTAGGGTATACAGGTAATGTCTAGGAATCAGAGATAGTTCTGTTAGACTGGTTTAAGTCAATAATTATCCCAGTTCATAAGATGGCAGACTAATCTTCCCATGATAATATTAGGAATATACGCTTGAATAATATATTGTCTAAATCCCCAGGTCCAATAATCACACGTGCAGACTACGTGGTGCTTGGGAGAAACGAAATCGAATGAACCAGACACGCTTTACGCCAGGACGAGAGTCTCTTGATCACATATTCACCCTTTGACACGTCCTTAAACATAGACATACCTACTGGCGTCCAACACTTGCAGTATTTCCCGACCAGAAGACGGAACTCACCTCCGTCAATCGACAGGTGGTGGGGCAATGTTTGAAAGTGTAGAGAAAGTAGAATACCATACTAACCAAAACACTACTCAATCTCAGAAGGCCATGTAAAAACTCGACGACAACCGTTATCTGAAGTGATGACAACCAGTGATGTCCACCAGGGATGTCGACTGTCCCTAATTTTTTTTAAATTTCGTCATGCATATACTAATCGAATTGGTTACAGGATTTCATCATGAGCTGACATCAGTTAGAGAACCATTGGAAAACCTGGGAGTACTGGACAGCTGTTTCGTCCTAGTTTGGGACTCTTCAGCAGTACGCACCCACCGGGGTTCGAACCCAGGACCTTCTGGTTACAAGGCGAGCTCGTATACCATTAAGCCACTGGGACCCGATCCAATGGTCCATGAATTCTAACTTCTGCCAATTCACGACATAGCGCGACCCCTAGCCAATGTCTTCGGCGAGTATTTGTCCTCACGCCCGACCTGCTGCACCCTACTGGTCACGACTTCTCACTAGAACCCCAGGTGACTACCCACCTGAATAGGGCAAGTCGCTAGTGAGCATCTCATTGATTTTCAAGTGTTGGTTTGTAGGGATTTGATTGGTTACAGGATTTCATCATGAGCTGACATCAGTTAGAGAACCATTGGAAAACCTGGGAGTACTGGACAGCTGTTTCGTCCTAGTTTGGGACTCTTCAGCAGTACGCACCCACCGGGATTCGAACCCAGGACCTTCTGGTTACAAGGCGAGCTCGTATACCATTAAGCCACTGGGACCCGATCCAATGGTCCATGAATTCTAACTTCTGCCAATTCACGACATAGCGCGACCCCTAGCCAATGTCTTCGGCGAGTATTTGTCCTCACGCCCGACCTGCTGCACCCTACTGGTCACGACTTCTCACTAGAACCCCAGGTGACTACCCACCTGAATAGGGCAAGTCGCTAGTGAGCATCTCATTGATTTTCAAGTGTTGGTTTGTAGGGATTTGATTGGTTACAGGATTTCATCATGAGCTGACATCAGTTAGAGAACCATTGGAAAACCTGGGAGTACTGGACAGCTGTTTCGTCCTAGTTTGGGACTCTTCAGCAGTACGCACCCACCGGGGTTCGAACCCAGGACCTTCTGGTTACAAGGCGAGCTCGTATACCATTAAGCCACTGGGACCCGATCCAATGGTCCATGAATTCTAACTTCTGCCAATTCACGACATAGCGCGACCCCTAGCCAATGTCTTCGGCGAGTATTTGTCCTCACGCCCGACCTGCTGCACCCTACTGGTCACGACTTCTCACTAGAACCCCAGGTGACTACCCACCTGAATAGGGCAAGTCGCTAGTGAGCATCTCATTGATTTTCAAGTGTTGGTTTGTAGGGATTTGATTGGTTACAGGATTTCATCATGAGCTGACATCAGTTAGAGAACCATTGGAAAACCTGGGAGTACTGGACAGCTGTTTCGTCCTAGTTTGAGACTCTTCAGCAGTACGCACCCACCCAATCAAATCCCTACAAACCAACACTTGAAAATCAATGAGATGCTCACTAGCGACTTGCCCTATTCAGGTGGGTAGTCACCTGGGGTTCTAGTGAGAAGTCGTGACCAGTAGGGTGCAGCAGGTCGGGCGTGAGGACAAATACTCGCCGAAGACATTGGCTAGGGGTCGCGCTATGTCGTGAATTGGCAGAAGTTAGAATTCATGGACCATTGGATCGGGTCCCAGTGGCTTAATGGTATACGAGCTCGCCTTGTAACCAGAAGGTCCTGGGTTCGAACCCCGGTGGGTGCGTACTGCTGAAGAGTCCCAAACTAGGACGAAACAGCTGTCCAGTACTCCCAGGTTTTCCAATGGTTCTCTAACTGATGTCAGCTCATGATGAAATCCTGTAACCAATCAAATCCCTACAAACCAACACTTGAAAATCAATGAGATGCTCACTAGCGACTTGCCCTATTCAGGTGGGTAGTCACCTGGGGTTCTAGTGAGAAGTCGTGACCAGTAGGGTGCAGCAGGTCGGGCGTGAGGACAAATACTCGCCGAAGACATTGGCTAGGGGTCGCGCTATGTCGTGAATTGGCAGAAGTTAGAATTCATGGACCATTGGATCGGGTCCCAGTGGCTTAATGGTATACGAGCTCGCCTTGTAACCAGAAGGTCCTGGGTTCGAACCCCGGTGGGTGCGTACTGCTGAAGAGTCCCAAACTAGGACGAAACAGCTGTCCAGTACTCCCAGGTTTTCCAATGGTTCTCTAACTGATGTCAGCTCATGATGAAATCCTGTAACCAATCAAATCCCTACAAACCAACACTTGAAAATCAATGAGATGCTCACTAGCGACTTGCCCTATTCAGGTGGGTAGTCACCTGGGGTTCTAGTGAGAAGTCGTGACCAGTAGGGTGCAGCAGGTCGGGCGTGAGGACAAATACTCGCCGAAGACATTGGCTAGGGGTCGCGCTATGTCGTGAATTGGCAGAAGTTAGAATTCATGGACCATTGGATCGGGTCCCAGTGGCTTAATGGTATACGAGCTCGCCTTGTAACCAGAAGGTCCTGGGTTCGAACCCCGGTGGGTGCGTACTGCTGAAGAGTCCCAAACTAGGACGAAACAGCTGTCCAGTACTCCCAGGTTTTCCAATGGTTCTCTAACTGATGTCAGCTCATGATGAAATCCTGTAACCAATCAAATCCCTACAAACCAACACTTGAAAATCAATGAGATGCTCACTAGCGACTTGCCCTATTCAGGTGGGTAGTCACCTGGGGTTCTAGTGAGAAGTCGTGACCAGTAGGGTGCAGCAGGTCGGGCGTGAGGACAAATACTCGCCGAAGACATTGGCTAGGGGTCGCGCTATGTCGTGAATTGGCAGAAGTTAGAATTCATGGACCATTGGATCGGGTCCCAGTGGCTTAATGGTATACGAGCTCGCCTTGTAACCAGAAGGTCCTGGGTTCGAACCCCGGTGGGTGCGTACTGCTGAAGAGTCCCAAACTAGGACGAAACAGCTGTCCAGTACTCCCAGGTTTTCCAATGGTTCTCTAACTGATGTCAGCTCATGATGAAATCCTGTAACCAATCAAATCCCTACAAACCAACACTTGAAAATCAATGAGATGCTCACTAGCGACTTGCCCTATTCAGGTGGGTAGTCACCTGGGGTTCTAGTGAGAAGTCGTGACCAGTAGGGTGCAGCAGGTCGGGCGTGAGGACAAATACTCGCCGAAGACATTGGCTAGGGGTCGCGCTATGTCGTGAATTGGCAGAAGTTAGAATTCATGGACCATTGGATCGGGTCCCAGTGGCTTAATGGTATACGAGCTCGCCTTGTAACCAGAAGGTCCTGGGTTCGAACCCCGGTGGGTGCGTACTGCTGAAGAGTCCCAAACTAGGACGAAACAGCTGTCCAGTACTCCCAGGTTTTCCAATGGTTCTCTAACTGATGTCAGCTCATGATGAAATCCTGTAACCAATCAAATCCCTACAAACCAACACTTGAAAATCAATGAGATGCTCACTAGCGACTTGCCCTATTCAGGTGGGTAGTCACCTGGGGTTCTAGTGAGAAGTCGTGACCAGTAGGGTGCAGCAGGTCGGGCGTGAGGACAAATACTCGCCGAAGACATTGGCTAGGGGTCGCGCTATGTCGTGAATTGGCAGAAGTTAGAATTCATGGACCATTGGATCGGGTCCCAGTGGCTTAATGGTATACGAGCTCGCCTTGTAACCAGAAGGTCCTGGGTTCGAACCCCGGTGGGTGCGTACTGCTGAAGAGTCCCAAACTAGGACGAAACAGCTGTCCAGTACTCCCAGGTTTTCCAATGGTTCTCTAACTGATGTCAGCTCATGATGAAATCCTGTAACCAATCAAATCCCTACAAACCAACACTTGAAAATCAATGAGATGCTCACTAGCGACTTGCCCTATTCAGGTGGGTAGTCACCTGGGGTTCTAGTGAGAAGTCGTGACCAGTAGGGTGCAGCAGGTCGGGCGTGAGGACAAATACTCGCCGAAGACATTGGCTAGGGGTCGCGCTATGTCGTGAATTGGCAGAAGTTAGAATTCATGGACCATTGGATCGGGTCCCAGTGGCTTAATGGTATACGAGCTCGCCTTGTAACCAGAAGGTCCTGGGTTCGAACCCCGGTGGGTGCGTACTGCTGAAGAGTCCCAAACTAGGACGAAACAGCTGTCCAGTACTCCCAGGTTTTCCAATGGTTCTCTAACTGATGTCAGCTCATGATGAAATCCTGTAACCAATCAAATCCCTACAAACCAACACTTGAAAATCAATGAGATGCTCACTAGCGACTTGCCCTATTCAGGTGGGTAGTCACCTGGGGTTCTAGTGAGAAGTCGTGACCAGTAGGGTGCAGCAGGTCGGGCGTGAGGACAAATACTCGCCGAAGACATTGGCTAGGGGTCGCGCTATGTCGTGAATTGGCAGAAGTTAGAATTCATGGACCATTGGATCGGGTCCCAGTGGCTTAATGGTATACGAGCTAGCTCGCCTTGTAACCAGAAGGTCCTGGGTTCGAACCCCGGTGGGTGCGTACTGCTGAAGAGTCCCAAACTAGGACGAAACAGCTGTCCAGTACTCCCAGGTTTTCCAATGGTTCTCTAACTGATGTCAACTCATGATGAAAATCCTGTAACCAATCAAATCCCTACAAACCAACACTTGAAAATCAATGAGATGCTCACTAGCGACTTGCCCTATTCAGGTGGGTAGTCACCTGGGGTTCTAGTGAGAAGTCGTGACCAGTAGGGTGCAGCAGGTCGGGCGTGAGGACAAATACTCGCCGAAGACATTGGCTAGGGGTCGCGCTATGTCGTGAATTGGCAGAAGTTAGAATTCATGGACCATTGGATCGGGTCCCAGTGGCTTAATGGTATACGAGCTCGCCTTGTAACCAGAAGGTCCTGGGTTCGAACCCCGGTGGGTGCGTACTGCTGAAGAGTCCCAAACTAGGACGAAACAGCTGTCCAGTACTCCCAGGTTTTCCAATGGTTCTCTAACTGATGTCAGCTCATGATGAAATCCTGTAACCAATCAAATCCCTACAAACCAACACTTGAAAATCAATGAGATGCTCACTAGCGACTTGCCCTATTCAGGTGGGTAGTCACCTGGGGTTCTAGTGAGAAGTCGTGACCAGTAGGGTGCAGCAGGTCGGGCGTGAGGACAAATACTCGCCGAAGACATTGGCTAGGGGTCGCGCTATGTCGTGAATTGGCAGAAGTTAGAATTCATGGACCATTGGATCGGGTCCCAGTGGCTTAATGGTATACGAGCTCGCCTTGTAACCAGAAGGTCCTGGGTTCGAATCCCGGTGGGTGCGTACTGCTGAAGAGTCCCAAACTAGGACGAAACAGCTGTCCAGTACTCCCAGGTTTTCCAATGGTTCTCTAACTGATGTCAGCTCATGATGAAATCCTGTAACCAATCAAATCCCTACAAACCAACACTTGAAAAACTAATCGAATTCACTGTAAGTGATTTCAGAGACTCAGAGATTGTCTTGTTTCTAGGAAAAAGTCTTCTTGACTTAGAGAATGAGGATGATATTATTCTCCTAGGTGAAGATGTTGGTAAAATGCAATCTTCTGAATACCTTGAGCAGAAATCTCCAAATGCTTAACATGAGATTTGTCCAAAAACCAACTCGTGGGGCGATTAGCAACTTAAGTTATCTCTGACGTAGAAGTGATATCCAGTCATCGAGGAAAGGACGCACGGAAGTCCACTCCATATTTCTTTAAGGCTGTGAGAAATGGCCATTGAAAGTGGAGGATATGAAAAGACTATCTGTCTCTGATCACAGATGTTTGCATTTTATCTCCCGTGTCAAGAAGTATAATATGGCAAATCGTAGTGAGGTACCAGGGAAGGATAAAGACTTAGTCGATGAAGTGCGAAGCTACATTCCATTGAGATAGTTAGAACAGGTTTCACACACTATGCCACACCATCGCCACCCTCATCGAACATAATTACCTGACACAGGTTCAGGTTGGGAAAGAGTAAGGGGTTGTCAAATCAAAACTTGCAATCAATCTATGAAGTCTGAGCCACGCAGAGTGTAGACGACTCAGTTGGCATTTACGGAATACTAAGAACTCGCAGTTGGCGACAATTGGTGGTATGACTCAAAATCGTTTTCAATGGTGCAGATGCATTCACCCTTTGTAATCTCCCACATCCATTAAATTATATCCGTTTCACCGACAACCTCTAGGCAATGACCATCGACGTCTTCAAGATCTCAGTCAGACTGTCCACACCTCTATACCTGGCACAAACCGACAGAAACTTCATGGGAGATAACGAATCAGAAGTGTGTGGGCGGCTATTACTTCCCACCGACTGCCCCATAGTATGAACTATGAGAACAATTAAGTCCCAAAGACAACGCCATACATATCAGATTGCCCTACTGATCAGGCCATAATAGGCTGAGCAGGGTAACTGAGACGATCGCATCAATTAGACGTCAAGCTACTTGACCAATGAACCAAACTCTCCGAAAGCAAGAAACAATCGCAAGTCGCCCCATGCTAATTTACCACTCTAGCTACACAAATCAATACCGACAGGTTTCACAATAGATATTTGATTATCGGATAACCTCAACGCATTCACACAGACTAATAGGAACATGGAATAATGTTCAGAGAATAGAAACAAGAATAGAATTCAACTCTAATTAGTCGATACATTTCTTAGATAAGTAACTGGAGCCGCCAACTTCAATAGCTAAGACACAATAAGTCATTTTCATAGAATAATCGAATGGAAAGTTGATACAACTCAGAAATTATACAACGCTATCAACTACAACAATTGGGTTATAATACTATCCAATATACTAAACTAGTAATATTGATGCGAAAAAGACAAAGTATTTTGTGCACCCTGCTTATTCCAAAACCGATAGAAAAAACACTGAAACACACACATAGTCGTGAATTAAGTGAATCATAGATGCTCCCATAGCTATTAAACAATGTTTGTGAAAAGCATTCTGATCGACTAATGCAACTGCACACATACACTTTCAACCACACAGCGGAGAACAACCACTTGTGTGGCAACTCGAACTGCTGCACTTCGGTGCCAAGTTCTATGTTGAATCCAGACAGACAGACAGACTTGTGTCAGACAGCCTTTATTCCTAAGAAACTATTATTTAACTTGCCACAATCAGTTTAAAACAGAACAATTACAACAAATAGGTAACAATAAACTGAAAATTTTGTGTTAAAAATACAGTATGCAAGCACAAACTAATGACAACCTCTCTGTACGTCAGTGACTGATTTCATCGAAAATTGTTAAGCAACAAAACGTGCTAACATGGCGTCAAAACGACCAAAGCCTGATATGATTCGAAATTCTCTAGATTGAGTGGCCAGGAGGAATTTTAAGTTACGCAAGTCACTAGTCAATGATCAGTCTAACACGAATATCATATCACCACACACGACTTCCAAATGACAATTCTCAATGCGCCTTTTGCATATCCCTGTGTAGAAATTTAGTCTAAACATTATTCTCACTTAACGTAGAGTTACGGATCAAAACTCAGTGAAGTGGATAGGAAGCTGAACAACACTACTAAATCAATGCACATAGATGAAAAGCAAAAATTATTGCTAAAACTAAAACCTGACAGGCAAACATCTCAACCATTTTCTCTAGTTACACAACTAATATCGGCTTGTGAAGAAGAGATAGTCTTCTTATCTGCTAGACACCTAAAACATTTCTAGCTTGTACTAAGCAAATTACCAAGTGTAACAACAAATACCCAAAAAAACACATTCTTATCAACTTTACCTGATAATCTGTTTCAATATTTTGAATAATTTGCGTAATGTTAGCTTTGTCGCAGGCTGATTTGTACACAGCGTTAAATGAATCAGAATCTATCAAATATGGTGGGACTGTGGCATTTTCATCACCATCTGGTCTACTCATTTCATGCATGATCAATTTCTTCAGCTCTGAAAACATCAACTTTTCATTTCTAGTTCCAAAAGGTTAGAAGAAATTAATGTTAACTATACCTTATCAACGATGGATGAAGTTCATGGAAGTCTTCAATGTTTCTTGATTCCTCTTCTGACGTCTAGGTGTTTATTTACATAGTAAAACAAAATCATATAACTAACCAGCAAAGTCATATCAAATAAAGGAAAACATTTCAGCATACTATCACAGTAAAATCTCAGCTTATTACAGTAGTCGACCCAACTATAAACGCGCTTAGAAGTAGAACTCTAAAATGTGTAAAAGACAAAGAGATAGTTCATCAGGAGAATAATAGACATCGAACAATAGCTAGTACATGAATATAAAGTAAAGCAACATGAATTATTATCTTATTCTCACAAGGTATTTAAAAGAGTAAATTGTGAGAAACAGTGAAAACATGCAAGATATACTGTTGAAATATAACTACGTCCATCTGTACAAATTACGATTCCTATTTCACAACTGTATATCGTGTATATACGAGATGGGAATCACACGCATTTATAAAAGCGCCTCCCAATTATTTACCTAGTTGTCAATTTAGCGACTAATAGCAGGAAAACTAATGAGTTATACTACTACTTTTACTCAGCCTTGTAACTTTCTTTCCAAGTGATTTTCTGACAAAAAATCTTTGGATTCTTAACAAAACATCAAATTAAAATGTTACAAAGATCATTATTTGACATGTGCTATGGTCAATAAAATCTTACCATAATAAATCTCAAGTGTTTCACGAAATTATTCATGGATTTAGGCGCTTCCGCAGACTCTGACTTGAATAATGAATCCATAAGGACTTCAAGAAATCCAAAGCTTTCTTTTATAGTGTTATTGATTACATGTTCGACATTAGGAGACTGAAATTTCTGTTTGTCAGGTGTGCGGAAAATACATGAAAAGTAGCAAATCCATTCAACTAATACGTCCAAAAGTACGAGTCTGATATCCCGAAACTTATCGGTATAGAGAGAGCATCTTTGTGATTTAGGGGATAGATCAAGAACCAACAGTGCTTCTAAAACTCTGACTGTGGAAATTATTCAAACCTGTTAAGAGTCTTAACCGGGCGATATCCTTTTTCTTCGACAGCAGTCTATAGCATAGGTTGGAGAAGTCACACACCGACGTACACATATGGGGCGAATATGCAGTACACGGACCAACAGTCACACAAGAAAAGAAAGTGCAACAGGAGCCCGGCGATAACGTGTACTCATTAGAATTCGAAATATTAGATTGCGCGGGTATAAGCCTTATAAACAAGCAAGGAAATTGAATATTAATTAGTGTTTTGTGTGTGCACATTTCTATGGCATTACATCCCCTCCTCTCCTATCAAGGCACTGTTCTCACTGACTGGTCATGGTATTCGGTCGAAGTTGCCCCCTTCGGTTAGTAACTCATAATGGCTGAAGTCAGGTGTCGGTCAAGATTAGTTCGATAGTTCACTTTGGGAAACCTCAGTGATGTGGTTTTATTTAGCCGTAGTGTGAGCTAACAACGTTGCCAACTGGTCACTGCAGCTTTAGCAGCGTACTTACATTTCATTCAGACCCTGCTACGGGACAAAACTTGAAGTGTGAGCATGCAGCTCCAAACAGTCGATAAAGCCCAGCGTTTGTTTTATGAGTGGTTCCGCGCGTAAGACGATGATAAACACTTTTTGGCGTTCATTAGAAAAATGTTGGTGAATGTGCGCCGGACTACAGGCAAATCGTAGCTTGTCACAAAGACTCTGGGCATAGAGCATATGGTTGTAGAGGCTGGCAGTGTTGACGTCCACGGATATTACGATTTATGCTGACGCGAGTTATAGTACCCACAACTTCTAAATAAATAAATAAATTTATTCTCATAGTACAGTAAATGAGGGACGCCAGTTTACAGGCATCATCAAATTGTTACAGAAATAGAACCACATAATTCAATCACAATTTATAGGCAGTAGCAAGATATGCTTTACATGTTCGCTGGAGATTATACATACACTTGATAAATGTTAATCCCAGTAGTATAAAACAGCCTTTTCACTTATACACAATCATTTCTGTGCACAGTTGGAAAAATCTGCTAGATTGTCAGTGAGTGCAACACAACAGGAAATACAGAAGTATTGTCTTCGCATTAACAAAAAAACCAGGTCTTTGGTGGATGGATTATAAGTGCCTGGGAAAAAAAATAAAGCTTGAAGTCAATGTTCATACATAACTTCGTTGTGTGCAGAGTCCTCGAATTATAGTTCATTGTTGTGTTATTTTGAAATCAGTGATGTGTTTATCTCATTTGATCTGCAATGTCATTGTTGGGAGTAAATATATAAGCTTCAGACGCATTAATTAATGGATTTCTACTGCTTGTGGGTATTTTCTTAGCGTGAGGAAGGCTTATGAATTTCACCTGTTCCGACAGGAGTTGAGAATATTAACTGCTCAGCAACATTATGGATATAAGTTCATCACATTATCTAAGGAAAGGTGGGTTGCAGTTGGTGAGGGATATATGGTGCCTAACGAGCGTACATCTGTCCATGTGATGTTGTGGTGGGTTTTACTTTTATCATGTTGTCGGTTTATGTCCATTTTATTCCACTTATTGTGTTGGGTAGTAGTTTAACAAACGAGATTTCTTGTCTGCTTGAGGATACGTATCTTAACCGTTAGTGTTTTATCTAAAATTATAAATATAGGCAAAATACAACAGGTGCAGTATTTAAGCTTATACATTAAATGGACCTATGATTTTGGAGGCTCTCAGATAGGAACTAGAACTACTATCGTTTGCAAACTCTTGTAGTTTGTCATTAAGCACCTTTTTGAAGGAGGCCAATGTACTTGCTTGACGCATTTCCATTGGTAGTTTATTCCATATCTGTGCATACCTAATCAAGTAAAACGTTTGCCTGGTGGCTGTTTTACATTGTTCGATAGCTACTGTACCCTTAGCGTGTCTTAGTTTGTAGCCATTGTCATCTGAAAGTCGAGTGCCATTAGTAGAGGTAAAAACTAAGTGGTTTAGAAGCTTATAGTAAAGTGTCAAGTTTAGTCTCAGGCGTCTTAGCCATAGTGTTTCTAGTCCTAGGGTATCACATCTAGTGGAGTAGTTCGCACTATTTTCGGTTCCGAGTAATTTTAACGTGAAGTACCTCTGCACTCCCTCGACTTTCAATTTGTCCTCTATGCGTATGCTACTATACATGAATGAACAGTAATCAAATAAAGGACGCACGCAAACCTTGTACAACAGAATTCTAGACTCATTTCTGTAGAAGTTCCTGAGTAGAAAGCCGATAAGTCTGCGTGACTTTGACACTTGTTTGAAGACATGTTCAGAAAATGATAAGTTATGTGAATATTTCAGTCCCAGGTCCAGTACAGATTCCAGTCGTTGAAGTGCATGGCCTTGAATTGTCAGGTCAAGTTCTAAATTGTTGCAACCTATGCAGAGCCAGCCACATTTTTCGACATTAAATTGGAGTTGCCAGGTGTCACACCAGCTATCCATTTTTTCTAATTCTTGCTGTATGGCGTTTACTGTTATTCCAAGATCTGTGTTCTTGCATTTATACGTCACTTTTAAGTCATCTGCATATAGTATTGGTTTACCTACACTAAAGCATTCACAGATACTGTTTATACATATTATGAATAAGAGTGGGCCTAATACACTTCCCTGGATCACACCACTACTTACTGGTTTAGGCCTTGAGATTATCGAGCCAACTTTCGTTGTCTGACTTAGGCCACAGAGAAATGATTTTATCCAGCTCAGGAGAGGATCACATATCCCTAGTGAGCATAACCTGCTGACTAGCAGATTATGGGGAACTCTGTCGAAGGCTTTTGTTATATCGAAATATAGTACAATGACTAGTTCTCTGTTGTCCCTACTTCGTGTAACTTCGTTGAAAAAGTCTATGTGACAGGTCACACATGATCTTTTTTTAAGAAATCCGTGTTGTGATGGATTGGTAAGTTCATGTTCTAGTAAGTTGTCTGACACTTTCTCCATTATTCGGGATATTACCGGTGTTATACTGATAGGTCTATAGTTGCATACACTGGTTTTGGCCCCTGCTTTGTGCTTAGGTAATATGTATGTGGTTTTCCACACTTCAGGATAAGTTCCAGTTTCCAACGAGAGAGTAAATATTCTAAGTAACAAGACTACCATTTCCGTGCTACCATTTTTGTACATGACAGATGGTATGTCATCTGTTCCAGTACTACCATTAGACTTCAAAGTCTTAATCGCTGAGTCTATATTTTGTATATTAAGGTCTATTTCGCCTAATTTGTGGTTACTTTTGCAGGTTATTTGGAAATTTTGGGTCGGGTGCACTCTGGCGTCATTGCAAAACCACTCATTGAGGAGTTCACTTATAACCTGGGGATCATTGTATATTATAACCTTATGTTCCAAGCTGCTTACAGTATTGTCTTTACTGCTTTTTAGGCGTTTCTGCAATATCCTACAAAGTTCCTGAGTTTTGGAGTTACCCACAAGCGCTTTAGTTTCTTCAAGTTGTGACACCATTTTGTGTTTATCTTCAAGCCGTTTAAGAGTTTCATGTATTTGGTTTAACGCGTTAAATTCCTTAAATACATGGTATCTCCTTTTTAATTTCTTTAGTTTTAGTCGCGTTTTGCGGTCTATAAATGGAGTTGGTGTCTTTAGAGCAGATTTTAGGGGCGCGATTGTGTCTCTTGCTGAGTCAATTGTTTTGTAGAAAATATCAAGTATTCTTCTCAGTCAGAACTTCTCAACAGATCTGATAGGAATTCCCAATCGGCATTCTTATAGTCCCTATATTGATAGTGCCCTGGGGAATTTTTAGGTGTGTGTTTAGTTGTTAGCCGGAGGGGTAGCGTGCAGTACAATATGCTGTGATCACTGTTATCAAGTTTATTTCCTACCTCTATCGAGATGGGCTCTATTTCATGACAAAGGATTAAGTCGAGAGTGTTTTCATTTCTTGTAGGGAGGCGTACGCACTGCTTCCATCCGCCTACGTCTATAGCTTGTAGTAGCTCGTCATGGATTCTAGGTCCTGTGCAGGTATCCCAGTTTACTCCAGGTAAGTTGAAATCGCCAAAGACTACTTTGTAGTCAAAGTCCAGCGAGGCTACATGCTCTAGTATTTCTCCAGTATTTATATCAGTCATTTCATAGCTATTAGGAGGTCTGTATATACATCCCACAAGAATTTTATTTTCGTTTGTGTGGATGCTTATCCACTTAGATTCAGGGAGTTTGTCAGTAGTTGGGTTATTGAAAGTATTGGAGTTAGCGGATTTAGAGGCATATATTAAACAGCCGCCTCCTCTTTTGTCAACTGTATCGTTCCTATGGATGTCGTAGTTGTCTATTACTAGCTTTGAGTCAAGTATATCAGTAGTAAGCCAGGTTTCAGTCACCATTATTAGTGTTGGCCGTTCTATGTATGCCAGGCAGCGAAGCGATGTTATTTTATTAAGGAGAGATCTAGCATTCAGGAGCATAATTGTTAGTAAACCAGAGTTATTGGAGGAGAGGTTAACATGGTTACTTGTTACTATCCCTACGTTATGTTTGGAGGGGCTCTGAGGTGAGACAGAGTCAGTGTGTGTACTATTTCCTGGATGAATTGTGCAGCGAGTGGGGCTATTGTTTGCTGCATCCGAAAATAATCCTGTTGCATGTTTTGACTTTTAGCATCCATGGGTGGGCATCTGCGTTCATTTACTGGTGATATATAGTTTGCCTGACCTAGGTACCCTGTGTTAAGATTACCTTGGTAGTTGTACCTCATGGGTCTTTCATAGTCGTATGCATATTGGCTCACATCACATGTGTGAGTGAAGCTATTGAGAGGGTCAAGTGTCGATCTATACTCATTATGTTGCTGAGGTTTAACATAGATAGTGTGAGAGTTTGGACGAGAATATTCATTAATATGGTGCCTAATGAGTCCCGTTTAGTGCTCCATATATCCTGATGATCCATTCTACGTTGCAATCCCAAGTTATGTGCGTTGCTAGGCATATTACTCCTGGTTCGGGAAGGGGTATTCTTACTCACATGATGGATGACGTTTTTGGGAATATGCTTTGTTATCCATGCATTGTCATTTTTTAGACTGACATGTTGCTTATTAG